TGTCATAATTAAAATACGTAACTATAAAAACTAAGTGTCCCAGTCCTAGCTTTCAATGGATTGCACGAGAATGCCCATATTGAAATGTAGCAGTTTTTATTTTCTTAGTTTTTGTTGACCTATAATGTGGTAAGAACAAAATGGGCCAGTGCACACTTGTCATGAATCCAATTTTGCAAAATAAGAACTAGGGTTGGGCCGATAGACGATTCCATCGTCCATCGGCGATGGCTGACAGACATCATGATGTTGAGCCGGCATCGTGATTGTAAACCACCTGCCCCCCCCCAGGAAAAAAACTCAAGTTTTCACATTATACCATCCTGTGAAAGCAGGTTTTAATGACCATGACATTCTTATTATTGTCTTATGTATGCTTTGCACCTGCCTCAGAATTGTCTTCTCCCCACACACTCACACACACCTCAGGTAAACCCCCCGGCTTGCCCAATGAGGCCCATTGATTCTAAATACTACTTATTGCATGTGCGTAGACATTTCTGTCTGGCATATATTGTATCCCTTGAAAATAAACATGAATATTATAAACATTTGCTGCATCCCCCACAGCAGTTGGACTAATACACTGATCAGCCATAACATTATGACCACCTGCCTAATATTGTGTGAGGGGGGGACTTTTGCCACAAAAACAGCCTTGACCTGTCGAGGCAAGGACATCACTAAGGTGTGCTGGTATCGTGCACCAAGATGTTAGCAGCAGAAGTCCTGTAAATTGATAGGTGGGGCCTCCATGGATAGGACTTTTTTGTCCAGCACCCACAGAAAAGAGAATTGGGGAATTTGGAGGTGAAGTCAACACCTTGAACTCGTATTCCTCAAACATAGCTGAACCATTTTTGCTTTGTGGCGGGGCACGTTGTCCTGCTTAAAGAGGCCACTGCCATCAGGGAATACCATTTCCATGAAAGGGTGTACACGCTCTGCAACAATGCATAGATAGGTGATACATGTTAAAGTAACATCCACGTGAATGGCAGGACCCAAAGTTTCCCAGCAGAACATTGCCCAAAGCATCATACTGCCTCCGCCGGCTTGCCTCCTTCCCATAGTGTATCCTGATGCCATGTGTTTCCCAGGTAAGCAACGCACCCAGCCATCCATGTGATGTAAGAGAAAACGGGACCAGTCCGCTTTCAGCAGTGGACAGGGGTCAGCTTGGGCACCCTGACTGGTCTGCGGTAACACAGCCCCATACGCAACAAACTGTGATACACTGTGTGTTCTGACCTTTCTATCAGAACCAGCATTAACTGTTTCAGCTATTTGACCTACAGTAGCTCCTCTGATGGATCACACAAGTGGGCTAGCCTTCATTCCCCACATCCATCAGTGAGCCTTGGCCGCCCATGACATTGTTGCCAGTTCACCGGACGACTTTTGATACCTGTTGATTCTGCAGACCAGGACGCCCCACAAGAGCTGCAGTTTTGGAAATGCTCTGACCCAGTTGTCCAGCCATCACAATTTGGCCCTTGTCGAAGTCACTCAAATCTTTACGCTTGCTCATTGTTTCCTGCGTCTAACACATCAACTTTGAGGACAAAATGTTCACTTGCTGCCTAATATATCCCACCAACTGATGGGTGCCATGGTAATGAGATAATCAGTATTATTCACCTCATCGGTCTGTGATTATAATGTTATGGCTGATCGGTTTAGTCATATAAAGCAGGAATAGCTGAACGGAGCAATTCAACATTTGTGTATATGGTGTTTATAATAGATGTGGTCGGTCATAGTCAATCCAAATAGAAGAACTGACATAAATAAGTCAGTCACAATCCTGCTAAAAAAAAAGAATAGGAGCCCATTTTTCATGTTGGTCGCAAACAATAGGGGAAAGAAGCTTTGATCCGAATTTAGACATAATGCAAATCAGCGCAGGTGTTTAGGCTCAATAAGCAGCACTGGAGAGATGAAGGAGGGAACAGCTAAACATTGGGGATAAAGAAGTTGCAGAGAAGTAGGTTATGATTTTAAGACCTTTTTAGACCTAGCATGAAGATAGGATAGAACTTTTATTTTGTCAATACAAAGCTCTTGGATTGTGTTGAATTTTGTTACAAGTTAAAATTCCATTGAAGGGGGTGAGTTGGTCTGGGAATCCATTCTGACAACAAGGTCTCCAGTGTTTCTGTGTGTAGTTATAGGAAAGAAAAGGGATGTAGAAAGTGTAAAAGTTATTTCTCCACCAGAGGATCTGCACAGAGGAAATGCCAGTGTTTTTCTACCCATCACTTCTGAGAGCTATGTAGGTGGCAGCACAAATGCCTCAGTGAATGGGTTTTTTTCTTTGCCTGATTTCTTCCTTCAGAGGTAATTAGGTGCATTCTTGTTGAAGTACAAACCAGAAAAAAAAATGTTTGTTTACATTTTCAGGTTATTTCATAAGCTAGATGATCTCCTTTTTTCTGCCTCTAAGTCTAAGAAACCTTAGATCCATCTTCAGCTTGAGATAATGTGCTGCGCAATTGATAATGAATACATGTTTGGTATAAAGCAGGGGTTTTCAAAGTCTTAGACTGCAGGCATCCCCGCAGATAAACCTTGGAAAAAGTTGCCCCCTTACTTTATTTAGTTTGCTTAGTTTCGCTAATAGACTAATATTGCTGTTTGACATAACTTCACACTACACCGAATACATAACAAAGGTCTGCCCAAAGGCATTTATTAGTTTATGACTCTGGGAAAGTTGGAAAAAACGTAAAATTCCTTAAAACTAGCCTACTGTTTCTCTGAACTATCTCTTTAACCAAATCACACACATTTAGGCTATTCTATGAGTTCTCCTATAACATTTTTTTCACTTCCATTCACTGAGCCTCCCCTGAAACTCTTTGGAGCCCCCCTGGGAAGCCTGCCTGCCATTTTGAAAAATAACCCTGGTATAAAGTATTGCAGCGATTTTGTCCGAGGCAAGTCTGTCTGAAGGGGAAACTCCTTGTGGTCTGTCCAGGGTCTTCTCTTTTGCATTCAACTTCGCAGTTAGCCTGGCAGTTTACAAGTAATAGTGCTTTCTCTTTTCAAATCCCAACTCATGTTAGTGCAGGACACTTGCTGACTCTCTTCAAAGCTAGTCTTTTCAGAGACCGTCTATCTATTTGCCTGTCTTTTGTGCATCTGTCATCGTTATTATGGCATGGAGCTACAAAAGAAATTGTTTGCACACATATAACTTTATTGTTTACACTAGAAAGGATGCACTTTACGGGACATTGTGAAACACAAAGCACAAGGACCACAGGTGTTATTTTCACAGCAAGTTATTGTTGTGCAGACCGGCAGCTTTTTTTTCTACAGTTGTTTAGCTGGATTTTGGTAGCTTGCACTTTCACCTTCTAAAAAATATTCCAATAGCCATAGACGGACAAGGAGTAATGTCATGCATGTTGTCATGGCACAACCTGACATGCATTAAAAAAAGCATTACTATATTATTATATATAGGGGTGGTTATGGCGCAATGGATAAGACGCCTGCCTTTGGTGTGAGAGATCCGGGTTCAATCCCCACTGTGACCCATCCACCATTGTGTCCCTGAGCAAGACACTTAACCCCTTGTTGCTCCAGAGGCGTGCGACCTCTGACCTCTGTAAGTCGCTTTGGATAAAAAGCGTCAGCTAAATGTCATTGGTCTATATAGACTTGCAACAACAACAAAACAAAAATGCGAACAAAGTTGGAAAATATCAAAGGGATGTCAAATGAAGAAGGATGCTGCAGGATGTGCCAGTACTTATCTATCCTCTCTTTTCGATCAATTTCAATTAGTAACCTTACCTAGCCAACCAACCTAGCCTAACTCCTGCAATTTTGCTAATTTATGAACCCCCCCAAATTGCCTCTGCAGTTACAGCCATTGTGGAAATGCAGATTACTGCATCTTTGTAGGGGTATTCATAGATTTTTAGACAAGAAGTTATTGTATAATACTGCATTTACCTTTTGACTAAGAACTTATGCAACTAGCCATTGTCCTATTTTATGCAGGCACGATGCAGAGTGAGACTTTAACAACTATGATGACTGTGGTATTAAAGGGTGAAACAATGAGGGTGCTGCCAGTTTCTCAATAACTAAACAAAATGTGAAAAAAATGTTCTGAAACAATACTAAAAAGCAGAGCTGTGCTGGATAGTGACAAACAAGAAATGTTGTTGGGCTGCTTCATCTGTTGCTAAGCTCATCTATAACCCTATAACTGGAAAAAAAAAACTGTCCTTTTTTAGCTTTCAGCAAATATGCGGGAGCAGCGTATGATAAAGGCTGTATCAGCCTGTATCAGCACCGTAAGGCCTGCATCAGCCTGTCTGTGGTTTCTTCTCTCCCTACTATTTCCTTCCCACCATGCCTTTTACAGTTTATTCTAGTTCATCCCAGAGGCAACTTGAGTAAACTCACAATGCTTTTTCTACAAAGAGAATGGACAGAGTGACGTAAAAGAAGCTTTTTCACATGGCCATAACCAGCGTGGTACCATCATATATCAAAGCTGGTCCTCCTTCTTTTGTTGATTAAGTGGTGGTTTTTCTCTGCATCCCTTTCTCTCATAGTTTCATCTTCTCCTCTTCCCATTATCTTTCACTCTTCTGCTCTGTGCAAGCCTATTTCCATTATAAACCCTGCAGCCCTCTTTCGATTGTGATGTAGAGAGTTTAAGAAAGAGAAACAAAATCCCTTCCCTATCCGTGCTGATGATGCAGAGCTTTGAGCGAGATCTGACCTGTTGAGAATGTACGAATGTGCTTTGTGTTTGTTCGTCATTGGTATGTCCTTTTTTTTTTCTCCCCCCCCTTCTTCTTTAGTTGTTTGAAGCTTGGCAATTGTAAGATTATGAGGTACAGTATCTAGGACATTAGGTTAAACCTTTTCAAAAATATCTGTGATGAACTGAGGCATAATGACTTTTCAGGCAAAGAAGCAAGGTTGCAAAAAATGTCCCTGAAGTTGTCTCTCTCCCTCCGTTCTTCCCACAGGGCAGTGATGCCTGGTATGGTGATGTTTCGGCGGCGCTGGTCAGTTGGCAGTGATGACCTGGTGCTGCCCGCCCTCTTCCTTTTTCTATTGCACTGCATCTGGTGAGTCAGTGTTTCTTCCACTATATGGATTTGTTTTTATTTTGCATGTATATTTTATTTTTTTATTTATCGGTGTCTCTGGCATTCATACTCAGGTTGGTAGTTCTATCTGTGGTTCTGTTCGGCCTCCCGTATGGCTCAGACCAGTCCTGTTCTGTAACGCTGGTGGACCATGGCCGAGGGTACCTGGGCATCCTGGTCAGCTGCCTTATCTGTGAGAGCGCCATCATGTGGTTGAGCATGAGAGGCAGCATTCTCTATACTCAGCCCAGGGAAGCTGTGCAGTATGTCATCTATATACGACTAGGTAAGACCCGCAGGCACACTCACTTTTCTTTCTGAGGCTCGCTTTTACACAGGATTACCTCTTGATGCCTGTGAGAATTGGAGGAGGTGGTTGGGAGGATTACTTGTGGTTCCAAGTTAAGATTTGAACAATGTTTATATTGATTGGGCAGATATTGATCATTCTCCTCACTCCCTCTCTCGCTTTATATCTCCAGCAATCCTGTTGGTCGAGCTAGTGTATGCTGTGGTGGGAATTGCCTGGCTTGTCCAGTATTACCAGCCATGCTCTGATGTCACTGCCAAAAACCTGGCTTTGGGTGAGTGAAAGAGTATTTAAAGGAGAGAATTGGAATGGACATTTTAGGTTAAAAAGAGGGTTGTTATGCTTGAATGTGAATAATGTTTTAATATTCTCTGCAGGAATTGTTGCATGCAACTGGCTCGTGATATTCAGCGTTTGCATTACCCTCATGTGCACCTTTGATCCTACTGGTCGGACATTTGTCAAACTGAAAGCCACCCGTCGGCGTCAGCGTAACCTCACTACGTACACACTCAGGTATTAGGCACTTAGATCCTTTATATCTCTCTCTGTCTTTTACTTTGTCTTGACACAAAACTCAACTAAAACACAGCATCAAGGCATGCGCATCTTACCTGTTTTTCACACAAATTCTTTTTGTGTTTTTCTCCCCATTAGACACAGGCTAGAGGAAGGCCAAGCCAGTAGCTGGAGCAGGAGACTAAAGTTCTTTATGTGCTGCACAAGAGCCCAGGATACACAATCAGTGAGTCACAACACACACTTACCCGTTTCCTCTCTGCCCTTACAGTAAAACGGAAAGGAATGAAACCAGAAATATGCCATTGAGCCAGTCATTAAAATAAGCCCTGACCGAATGAGTCAAGACTCTGACACAGAGAAGCGTATTGCTCAGCTACTTAGTGACAGAATTATGCATTCAATATAAAATATGAATGTAAAATTATTTCATTTCAGACTAAATCCATTTAGAATCTGTCTGTAAAACAGTAAAGCATAACTTCAGTCATAGAGATTTCAGTAACCACCATTCACCAGACTAGACTGTAGAACTGAAGTCAAAAAAAAAAAAATCCAGAAAAATTGCAACAGTCCAACTAACGTGACAAACCCACAGATTACCATGCTTCAAAACGTTCAAAATATCCAGACTGTTATACCATATGCCATACATCCATACACCTGATGTCCAAGTGTGTATTTAGAGTAATCAACAAGTACCATATTTTTGGAAATATATATTACTGAATTTGTGAATTTGAGAAGCCAAAGTTACCTCGCCTTTAGGCTAAAGTTATGCTACCTGATTTAGAAATATATATTTTAAAGTTTGTTGTGGTTGTTTGTGTGGACTGTTATTCACTTAAACAGAGCACAACAAGCAGAGGGTCAGACAGTTTAAAGGTTTTATGATGATTATGTCTATTTTGTAGCAAACCTGTACTTCAGTCCTCTTTTTGTTACTGTGCTTGGACAACATGTCCTGATATCTGCTACTGTCCTGTCCAGGATGCGTATTCAGAAGTGGCCAGCCTTTTTGCAGAGTTCTTCAGAGACCTGGACATTGTGCCTAGTGATATTATTGCTGGCCTGGTACTTCTCCGCCAGAGACAGAGGTCTAAGAGATCTTCAATCCTGGACCAGGTATCACTGTCTATAAAAATATTTTAACGTGTGTATTTCTGTGCTTGTGTTGGCAGTTGCTGTAATGAAAATTACTTTTCAATTCTGCTTTTTCTTCCTAAGGGCAACAATGATATTTTAGCCTTCTTATCTGGAATGCCTGTCACTCGTAACACAAGATACCTGGACCTTAAGAACTCGGTGAGTTTCTGTGTGATAATAAATTCACAAAGTCAAGGGTGATTTGTGTGTGTATATCACTTGAAAAACCACGTGAACAGTGGACTCGTAAAAGTTAAAAGGTTTAGAACAATAAGAAAAGTACAATATGCATTTTAACTCCATTCGTAAAAGCTCTTCTCTGTCTTATTTACCCTTAAATAATTTTTTTTCACCAGAAAGCTTCACAAACTGCAATAGGGAAGAAGAGAAATTGTGATAAGTAGATATAAGAGTAATTGAAGAGGCCGGTCCCTTGGCTAGTTGATTTGATGAGAACTCTTTTTAAAAATCAGTTTTTCTGCAGTTGTTTACAGTAGATTTCTGTGCTATTAGTGTGTGTGTGTGTGTGTGTGTGTGTACTTGTATGTATTCATCTAAAATTATATCTGTAGATTTGAGTATCTCAGGATTTCTGAATTGTGTAGTTGCTCTTATTCCTCTGTTGTTCTGATGCACTTGTGTGTCTGTCTGTTTGCCTGTCCCTCTCCTAGGCCGAGATGAACATGTACAAAGATGTGTGTTATTACATGCTCTTTGCCCTGGCTGCATATGGTTGGCCCATGTACCTAATGAGGAAGCCTGCCTGTGGGCTGTGCCGCCTTGCAGCTCCTGCCCGTAAGAACTCAATCATAAACCTACACAGTTTTGATCTGTTTGTGTTCTGTCTCTCTGGAGCCTCCTCAGTGCAGATCACATTTCACATGCGTCAACACTTCCAAGTCTTAATCCACTGAGACAATACCACTCTAGTTAGATTCACTCACTGACACAAGCAATACCGAATTAATTACATACTCTCATCCAGAGTGTCTGCACTTGGATACTAGATTATTCCTGCAATCCTACCAATAAACTGTATTTCTCTTGTGTTTGTCACACCTACTGTTTTACAAAATGATCAGCCATTTATGTATTTGTTTGTTTTTTGTCTTTGCGTGTTTTCTTCTTGTCTTCCTCTCACACCCCAGCTGTACGTCAGTGTCTAGCTCTCGGTTGTCTCAGTCCGTGACAGTGGAGGAGGACAACTGTTGTGGCTGTAATGTCCTGGCCATACGGAGACACTTCCTGGACAGGGACCTCAAGCAGGTTCAAATTGTCTACACTTCCTGCCATGATGCTGTGAGTACAACCGGCTAACGAGCAGTTGGAAGTGTGGAGAGGGTGGGTTGTTAGGGTGGGCATTTTACTGCAAAATACACAGTTGAGGTGAATTATGATATGCCCTTTTTAGGCAGCCCTGCACATGATGTTAAGCTTGCAAACCAGACTGTAATCTTGTCAAAGAAACATCATCAACACAGAGCTGCGGTGCAGTGCTGCACATCTACAAACTGAGAGCTATTCTGATCATTCAGTGGCTGTATTTTGTAGTTTTGCCCATAATTTGTATCTGTTTTGATAACACTTTACTCACCAGTTTAGTTGAAATATGGGGAGCCAAGTTGCTGTGTCCACATCCTCGGCAGTAAGTCAAGTGCATTCCTAGTAGGTGTTGGACTCCACCAAGGCTGTGTGTGATTGCTATGGACAGAATCATAAGGAGCAGCAGAAGATTGGAGAGTATCCACTTTGGTGACCTCAGGATATAGCATTTGTTCTCTCAACATGTGATGCAGTCTTTCTGGCTTTACTGGCTTACTGAGTGATTTACTCAGCTCACTTATCAAACTGCATTCCAGTTGAGATATTTGGATGGAGAGCCCTCTTCTGTGAGTGGTTGCAGTAGGTAATGTCAGGGACTTCTTACAAACCTGTGTAATTAGTATATCATTGCCTCAGTGTTGCCTTGTGCACTTTTGTTGTAAAGCTGTATCTAGTAAAGTTGCTGCATCGCCATGTTAAGGGAATTAAGTTAGTGAGTGATAAATGTCTGATCGGACAGATTGACAGATATTCAGGTAACTCATTCTATTTTCATGCAGAATGTCCATAGCATTCACACCACCACATGATGTTAATGATTTGTAAAGCAAAGCACTTCTTAGTGAGGTTAGCGCTGAGTTTCCATCTATAAAATTCTCCCATGGAGTGACATATGTCTGTGAACTGTGCCAAGTGGAGAAAGGTTTGCTCATTTCACTGGAATGGAAGTGGAACCACGATATCTCCTCCTCACTTTACCCCTCGCCTGGTCCTCTCACTTTCTCATCACCGTTTACTGTCTGCCCTGCGTCTTCCACACAGGTTTACGAGACTCCGTTTTTCGTGGCAGTGGATCATGCGAAAAAGAAAGTTGTCATCAGCATCAGAGGAACATTATCGCCAAAGGTGAATTTTTAGCTTTCTTGTCTTGTTTGTACAGTAATACTTGTTCAGCTCTCTCTGAACATTAGTGGACCTTATTCCCTTCAGCAACACCAACACCTCCGGAGCAGGTGAAGTTCTCATAGTTTAACGCAGTGTTCTCAAACTCCTACACTCCTCATGCATAGAGCAGAAACGTGACAGTCCAATATAGAAATAAATGTCCTATCAATTTTTTACATAAGCATTTGAGAAAACACCTGTAGTGTTTTAAGAATAATAGATAATAACTATAGATGCATTATGGCCTTGTAACAAAGGCAAAATGTGTTTTGAGAGGAAAATAACTACTCAGCCCATGGATATCTGATGCCTTGCTCCCAACTGGTTTAAACATGCAGTTTTAGCAAATCAGAATGCATGTACTGTTTGTGCCTTGTTGGACGTGCAGAGTACAAAGATTAAAGACGCATTAACAAAGTGTGTGAATATTTAAATCTATGGTGGGCCACACAAATGTTGAGCCCTCATTGCCTTAAGGACAAACTTCAAACTTCTGACATTCATAATCAAGATAAGAAACCCCTTTTCAGTCCAGTGTGATCACTGGACTGAAAAGGAGGTAGGGTAGCATTTTACCTATAATTTTGAAATGGTAATATAAATAAAATATAAAGTTAAAGTGAGGCTGATGTATGGAGTCTATTTGAGAATGTACCTTTCCTCGTCTTATAGCACTTGGTACAGTCCTTCTGGGACATTTGGTACAACATAAGAAATAATCAGATTTGCAATGGAGATTATGAATGATGTTTTGAATTCCTGTGTCTGATTTGGGGTGATTTGGGGATAGCGCAGTGAATAAGACACAGGCTGTTGGTGTGGGAGAGCTGGGCATGACACTTAACCTTGAGACGCTTAAGACGCTTAACCAATAGTTGTTCCAGAGGCGTGCGACCTCTGACACATATAGCAATTGTAAGTCACTTTGGATAAAAGCTTCAGCTAAATGACTTGTTGTTGTTGTTGTTATTATTGTTATTATTATTATTATTATTATTATTATTATTATTATGGTCTGTGCACTTCCCCGTCTTCGCTTCATCCACTTGTCTACTCTGCTTTATGCTGTCTGTTGTAGAATTTTTACATTTGTCTTGTGTGTATCAGGACGCCTTGACTGATCTGACGGGGGATTCTGAACGTTTGCCTGTAGAAGAGCAGCAGGGCACCTGGCTTGGCCACAAGGTCAGAGATTGCTGTTTTAAACTACAATACATTTAGTATAGTCCATTGTATAGTCTCCTCTGTTCTCTATAGCGCTGTTTCAACAAGTAACGTTATCCCAGACTCCAAAGGCCATTTCAATTGTTAATAGTAGAATAATTGCTGTGGATGTTTTAATAAGAGATGAATGACTCAGACTTCCTGTCCATATTTCTTTCTCTCTCTCTCTCCATCCTCTCCTCCACTGAATCCCTTTCTCTTCATTTCCATTCTCAGGGAATGGTTTACTCAGCAGAATACATTAAGAAGAAACTGGAGCAGGAAATGATCTTGTCACAAGCCTTTGGCAGAGACTTGGTACACGACTCAGTACACTGTATAAAGAATGTCGGGCTTAGTAATGAAAATTTTCTAACATTTGCAATGTGCATTTGTATGAACTCCACTGTGGTACTTTAAACAAGGCTACACTATCTGTGTAACATCACACTAGCCCTAACCCTACTGTATACAATTCTACAATTGGCAGTAGAGATAATTTGTTGGAGTGATTGCCTTCACTCTGGTGAGAAACGTGCTGTTGTGAGCTTAACGACTCTGACTGTCTCTCACAGAGCAAGGGCACCATGCACTATGGGCTGGTGATAGTCGGGCATTCTCTTGGTGCAGGCACTGCTGCTATCCTCTCCTTCCTGCTGAGACCTCAGTACCCCACACTTCACTGCTACTCTTACTCTCCACCTGGTGGCCTTCTTAGGTGAGTCAAGTCAGGTGTGTGTGTGTGTGTGTGTGTGTGTGTGTTCATGCAAAATACAAAAGACTATACGAGAGAAGGAAGTTATTACAAGCATGTTTGCCACGTTCATACACAAATCCCATGTTTATGTTTTTTAATCCCAGACATGTTTAAACCAAGTTTGACAATTTCATACCAGACTGCTGTCACAGGTGATACCCTGGTCACCGCTGTTTACTTAAGATCTGAGACTGTAGCTCTTGTTTATTACAGTACATCACTGCTAAACCTCAGCATTATACCAGACCTAATGTAAATATCTTTGATCGATAGAGCTGTAGTGTTTACTCTGGAGAATAAACATGACACTGTGAGCAATGTGGTGTTGTTTTTGTATAGAGGAGAGGGGGCCTTAAACATTCAGCTAGTTTTTTAAGGCATCCCATCATTCTGAAACCACAGAATTAGTTTGCAAAAAGCATCGTATTTTTATTTTTTTTTAAAACAGGGTGTTGTAAAGTGTTTTTGACATGTACCCAATCTGTGGTTTCTTTCATTTTCCTTTTTCCCACCATCACAGTGTAGTTTATTTTTAGTTCAGGGTTCATTTACATTTTGTCTGTCTACACTTGAGCACTATCAAACACCCTCACATACAGCTGGCTGCAGTGTTAACCATGCAAATGATGCTGGAAGAGGGTGTGTACCAAGAGATTACTAAATGCAGCACTGCACCTTTTGCTGTTTCATTGAAGTCAAGACATGGTAATTTGACTTTTAAAGGTATATTCTGACATCAAAACTTCAGTGTATAGGTATTAATGGCTCCCTAGAAAGTCATATGGATGCTCCAAATTAGCCATTAAATTCCCCCACCAGACTGTACAGTTGTATTTACTGAATGAATGGGTCCTGTGTGTCTTGTTTAGATTGTGATACGGTTTTCTTATGTTGTTGTGCCCCATTCAAAAAGCAGCAATGCTTAAACCTGTTTTGTCCTTTTCAAAGTCTGCGAGGTCACACTTGATGCCCTTTTTGGGTAATCTTTTCACATGCAAATCAAATGTGGAAATGGAGATGCTGCTTTTTGCGTCTGTATATGTTATGACACACAAGTAAATGGGAAGGGAGGGTCCACTTCTTCTGTAGGGGCTAGGATTAAATTTTTTGTGGTTTCTCATTTAGTTTGAATCATTTTTCTTGCTTTTTTTTCTGTCCATCTTGTCCAGTATTATATCACTCCTTATAGATATGGCCAGATATATGTATTCCTAAAAACGTCATAGTTTAATAGTTTACAGTCTATCGTAGACCATTATTGGCCTCATATAGCCTCTGGTTGTTCTGAAGAAATTTGGATTAAAACAAATGTTTGTGTGAAGTGTGTGCAGACAACTTAGTTTCCTCACGATTCACACCGTGTACTCTCTCCACAAGTCCTGTTCACATAATCTTTCTTTTATTTATCCAGTGAGGATGCCATGGAGTACTCCAAAGAGTTTGTCACATCTGTGGTATTGGGAAAAGACCTCGTACCAAGGTATCTCTTCTAATTTATCCAGCATACAGTGGTTAACTTCACTTTGCTGCAGTGTTAATACAATAGAGGTATCTGCTGCTGGTCTGTCCTAGGCTTGGCCTGTCACAACTGGAGGGTTTCCGACGCCACCTTCTGGAAGTCTTACAGAAAAGTAACAAGCCAAAGGTGACTCAATCTCTTGAAACTGTAAAAGATGATAATCAGGTAGACTTGTAGACATTTTGCACTATGAAAACATCAACAAGAAAGATGCAAGAATCTGACACATCCTATGAGCTTGTCTGGCCAAGAACATCCATCTCGTAATAACTTAAGGGAATGCTTTAAGAACCATTATTAAATAACATATATCTACTGTACAAATACTAATGCATTACTAAACAGGTCTCAGATTCACAACATATTTGCATTTTTACCCACCAAAGTCCACTACATAAACCCAGCAGCATCACACGTATGCTGCATTTTACACGTTACACGTAGTGGCTGATTAAAATAAACTGCAGGCATCCACACAACCTCTCAGAACACTGCAGTTACAGTATCTCTGCTGTAATTAAAGCATCATGTAGTTCACCCCTGGCTGCTGCATGAGATATATTTATATTTAGATGTTATGTTACATAACTAAAATGCATTTTCCTTTGCAACAGTGGAGGATCATTGCGGGAGGTACCAAATGCATCCCCAAATCAGAGCTTCCAGTAGAGGATGATGATCCTCAGTCTCAGCCAGCAGCGCCCCCCAGCAGTCGCCTGTGGCTCCACCCCAGTGACCTCAGCATTGCCCTTTCAGCCTCCACCCCCCTTTACCCTCCTGGCAGGATCATCCACGTGGTGCACAACCATCCTCCAGAGTCATGGTGAGAAAATTCACTTGAAAGCTGTCTGTAGATTATAGCAATTAAATCCCCAAACGTTGTTCTTTACTGTTGTGGTTTGTTTTTTTTGTTTTTTTTTCTGAAGTTACTGCAGTTATGAGCTTGTCTTAAAGCTCGTCTTTCTACAAAACATACACTTTTACCATATAACTCTAACTCACACAGGCTAACATGGAAGTATAACTGATGCGATGATGATGATGGACACATACCGCAGAGCAGATGTTATATTTGTTTCATAAAAGAACCTGCATCTCAGTGGGGAAAGGTTTACACTGCATACTTGGGACAATATGGTTTTACATTCTTCTGCACTCTCTGCTGCGCTGTATTTTGTCATATTTTGTTTTGTAGTCTTCCTGTCTCATGTACATGTTTTTTCATACCTGGTGTTTTTAATTTTATACAATGTGGAATATATTTAAAAGAGATATATCAATAATATGTATAAAGACAGTGAGATCAAACATGTATCCTGCATCAGCTGGGCTGTAATCCAAGGCCAGAATACATTTGTGGTGAATAACCGGTGGATGTCATTCATCTGAAAAAATTATTCACATGTCAAGTTAGATAACACTGTCCAGTTGGGTTTACATGCTCATGGTAATCTGATCTGTGGCCTGTAGTTGTTCACTGCTGGTGTGTGTCCAGCCATTACATAGAGCCCATTAGCCTTGCAATCTTGAATCACCGTCTGCAAGCTGGTACAAAACCGTGACACAGAAGTGGTTTGGCCAAGTTATCCTAACAATGACAACACAATAACGTGTGTTTGTCATGTACAAAAATGGGGTTAAAAAGAAGATAGGATATATCCCCTTCTTCCTCTTTTCTCTGAAGATAGATTCAATCATTTGCTATATGCTGCTAGTGAACTTTTCTTAACTTGCTGATCACCGATTGCTAAAAGCAGCATCGGCCGATACCGATCACTGGGTCTATTTGGAGCCTTTTATTTATCATGTAGCATTATACAGTATACTGTATACACAGGAGTACGAGAGACGGCAGCGGAAAACAGACTGGGAGTTGTCGCAAAGTAAAAACAGCGACATGCACGGTAGGCTAGGCTTAACTGTTAAGTGTTATTTACACAGTACTTATATTTTAATAAAAATACTAAAACTCTGTAAGTAGCGTGTTTTTGCTTTGCATGACTGATAAGACCGACTCACAAAGCCAAATGTGAGTGTGTGTCATCGTTTTATAAAGTCCTCTGTTTTGTCCACTGGGTCAGCAGACAAACATCTTCTGATTCACCGTTTTAATCTGGACGGGCGGTGGAAACGTAGCTAAAGGTCTCCGTTTTTGTAACGAAAACAGAGAGAGAGAGAGGCAGTCAGCTGATTGAGTGGCACTGCTCTTTGCATCAGGAAACTCACACTGAAGGATCAGTCTCTCTCTGCCTGATGTGTCTGTTAAACTCCGGTTGCGGGTGGCGTGTGTGTGAGATGAGCACAGCTGCGACAGTTTCACGTGATCGCTCCTGCGTGTTGCTCCACTTGTCTGATTGCTGCTCAACTAATTGTAAATGATTATGTGGGCGCGTTAATCCCTTCTTGTCTGAGAAGGACTTTGGTGCTAGCTAGCTTTGAAAACCGCTCACACAGCGTAGTGAAACCATTTTAGCTGCCGCTGAAAATTTGTCTGGCGAGTATTGCATCATCTGGTCGTCTTTTGTTATCGGCATTTTTAGCGACCACCGATCAAACTAGTTAAAGCCATTATCGGCCGATTATGATCGGTGACCGATCGATCGGAGCACCCTTAGTCTGTTGCAGTGTCTACACTGAGGTCATTTGTGAAGTCCATCACAAAATGTTCCATGCAGTGGTGTGACAGCCTGCATTATGCTTCTCTCACATGTACTGTTTTATAAGTGAAGAATACTGAGGCGGGCTGTTGCTAATTCAACATGTGTGTTCACTTAATCTTTCACCATGATCGACAGACTTTCTCTCTCTCCCCCTTTCTGTAGCTGTGGCCAGGAGGAGCCAACATACTCGGCTCTGTGGGGGGACAACAACGCCTTCAATGAGGTCATCATATCACCTGCCATGCTTAATGAGCACATGCCCCACATGGTGATGGAGGGCCTAAATAAGGTCTGTTTTATCTGTGTGCATGCATATGGATTGGCGGGGGTATGGCTTTTAAATCATGTTCTTGATTTCCAATACCGGATAATTTAATTAATGAATGATGAGAATGTGTGGATTGCCTCTAATTACAAAAATTCAGATGCATTCACTGAATATTTTTAACAATTGTACATAAAGGGGTATACCACTTTTTGAAAATGACATAGGAACATATTTAGCATTTTAAACTTAAGCTAGACATCAACAACTGCATTTTCAGTTTTAACATAATATTTCTAGATTTCTGTAATAAATCTTTTACAAAGTTACAGATTTTACAATATAATTGTGGATGTGTTTCTCCTTGTTCATCTGTGATAAATAACAGTACGTACTCTCGTAGATACACTCCAGATTTAATACTGATCCACTTTGTATGTTTGGAAATTTTTCACCGTGATGCTTTGAAAAGCTTTCTCCTAAAATAAAAACTACAATATCCAGTGGTTAACTAGCTTTACACCTGGCAAAGAATATTAATAGAGAAAACTAATTTGAAGATGGGCGATGTATTTATTGTCTCTTTTAAATCTACCCATCTTATGATTTTCATTATACTGTTACACATGATTGAAAAGACACAGGAAAACAAATCCATCCATCCATCCATCATCAACCGCTTATCCTGCATACAGGGTAGCGGGGGGGGGCTGGAGCCAATCCCAGCTGACATCGGCCGAAAGGCGGGGTACACCCTGGACAGGTCGCCAATCCATCGCAGGGCCACACATAGACAAACAACCAGTCACACGGACAGGGCAGGACAATTTAGGGTCACCAATCAACCAAGGCCGCATGTCTTTGGATGGTGGGAGGAAGAAAAACAAATATGGAGTTTTAATATTTAGTGGTATGCCCCTTAAGTGTTCACTTAAAATCATTTTTGAGAGATTTGGAAGATTTAATTTGAGGTATTGTACACGGTCGGTTAATGCATGTCACCCATCATTAACCTACAATTCACCACACCTGTTGCTTTCTTCACATTGCTCCAGTATCAAAGCATGGGAGCTGTTCACTCCTGGTTGGGTTCATGGTGTCCTTTGGTCTCTATGAGTGTATGATTCACAAGCATTGAACATCTCTCCAGATAACAGGGAATTAATTTGGTATGTTTGCATGCAGTGGATCCACTTTGGGGATGGCACTTTCTTGTGGTGGAAGAGTTCCAAGTTTGTTCCTCTGTGTGTCCAATGTGTTTTACTTGGTTTTGCATTGGTGTTTGTGGCTCAGCCCTGTGTCAGTATCTCTGGATGGCTATTTCTGTTTGTGCGTGCGTATGTTCACATAGGCTGTGCCTAGTCTATAGTATGATACCTCTGGTGTTTCTGCAGGTACTGGAACCATTTTGTCCTCTGTGTGAGCAGGAAAATTCAGAACCAGAGGAACTAGAAGTCATTCAACCTATCTGCAGTACTACTGAGTTCATAACCTCACAAACCGAATTAAACTCTAATTCCTCTTCTCCCACCCGCAAAGACCTGTCTTCCACAACCTCCCTCGCAGAGACTGAGGCTGTCTCTGTCCCTGTGGCTGTCGTTGCTTCTCCCTCTCTTTCAGATGCTGAGTCTGTTCTTCCTGTTTCTCCTCCTTTGTCAGACTGTACTTCTGCCTCACAGCTGGGCTTGGTATCTGTCCCCCGGCTTTCTAACAGGCCTTCCACCCCTAGCTCAGGAGCGCTTTCAGTTGAAGATGATTCATGCATTCCACCACAAACCCAATCAGGCCAACCCAACTCTCACCATTGTGTAGATGTGATAGCTACTCCTCTTTCTGAAATCCAGTCAGATGAGTCTAATGGTAATCCGATAGAAAATGTTCCTGTCAAGATAATAACCTCACAAAAAGATGAAGTCTGTAGTTTACAAGTGCCAAAGAATCATTTTGATTCTCTTGCGTAGAATTTATGACACTCATCATTGTGCATTGTGCACAGATGCTAATAAAGTATAATACTTTATTAGCATCTGTGCACAATGCACATACATATATTGTTACAATTAATACTGTGACTGAGTCCCCGGTCTAAGATGATGTGACGACATGCCCATGAAGTTCCGTAGCAGAAACATTCTGCCTGATGTAAAACTCCTTCTGGCTTTCTGAAAAGACTGGAACAATTTTAAGACTTCCTACTAGCATTATTGCCACCTTCCACTAACACCAAAAGCCAGTGGCTGGATGCACCAACTCCAGGCAAGCTCACTGGATGCCATCAAATGGCGTTGCAGAAAAAGGAGGAAAAGGGGAGACAAAATTAAAAGAATGTGAACAGGTTACAAAGCAAGTTGAGGGAACGGATCTGCGTAAACAACAACAAAGGTCATCACTAAATAGCTCTTGGAATACATCACAAGTGAATGGTGTATGTAACAGCTACAAGAATATGTAATCCCTTTTAAGCCTTAGAGTCAAATAGCTTTTTGCAACCCTGCATGATGAGTCCAAACCCACCTGCACTCTTTTTCCTGTTAATGAGATTCCTCATGCAGCTTTCCTCATATCAAGCCTTCATTCTTTTCCATTCCTCACGCAGCTACGGTACATTTGGTCAAGTGCTGTGGCATTAACTTGCTAACCCCATTCCTGGAGCGAATATGTTTTCTTTGTATTCACAAAGTTTCCATGGTAACCTAATTTCTTCCACATTAACTGCTCTTTCTTCCTCCTTTTGGCTGTTTTTTTTCAGTTGCTGCAGCTCCTCTCTCTCTCTCTCTCTCTCTCTCTGGATATCTTCTCCTTTTTTGCCTTTTGAAAGCACATATTCAGCCTTTCCTCAATCATAATCCCTTCAAGGAATTGTCAATTACTCATCAGCAGCAGATGGAGTAACAAAAGGGGAACAAATGTGTAAATATAGAGTACTCTGCTTAGCTCCACTGCTCTGCTATAAAATTGCTGCTCACTGAGTCTTACAAATTCCTCATACTCTCTTATAACTGACTTGGTACAGTGGAGGGCTTCTATTAACAAGACTGAAAACTGCAATTATATATGGATGTCCTCCACTGTTCATAATGCTATGTCATAATGTGCTTTCAGAAATTATATATGTCATATGAATACACGGCTGTATGGATTTCAGTACATTATTGCATAATATCAATATGTTTGTTTGTGTTTGCAGTCATTTGTTTGCATTGTGACTGCAGGTGAAATGTTTGACATTGTTGGTGCCACATGTTTGCTGTTATCATTTTCAGCAATCTTGTCCCCGTGTATCACACTCACCCTTGTGACATCATCATGTTTTTATTTGTGAAGCATAACCATCTGCAAAAGCCAAACATAATAAACATGTTTGTTTATGGTATTTTTAACTTAATGAACCTGTGTCCTACGATATTCAGTGTTTGTTTACATTCATTTCCATTTATTTTCTCCATATTATGCTCTATTGCCACATACATTTTATGTTTGTGTGTGTGTGTTCTCATGTCCTTACTGTTCAAGTTGTTCTATGCCATAATGTGCTTCCACTCAGTGTTTTAACTCATTAAAGTTAACCAAATATATGTAATTGTGTGTTGATGTGATTTGCTTTAAGTGTTTGTTCTCCTCACATTTTATCTATTAACACAACACTTTTAAAATGCTATGGGACAGGGGTTTTCTTGAATATCCTTGAACTCGCATGTACACGGGTCACGTGGTTTACTATTTCTTGTCATACTGTAGGTCTTGTGTAGCTCTTGCTCAGGCATCATGACTCCATCGTGGGTGTTTTAATTCAGTCAGTTGGAGTGGGTGTAAGCTCACCTTTAGATTGCACTTTATGTGAACTACACTGTGCTTTTTTTAATACTTTAGTAATAGCTGTAATCATATCTGCAGTTGAATAAAGATGTAGTGGTGTCTTGGAAAATGTCATTGAAAACCATTATAATCTTACTGAAGGTGATTTAAATGCATAACTAGACATGCGTGAAGACTGTCTGTGAATGAAAATGTATTTGTGTGTGTGTGTGTGTGTGTTTAAAGATACATGGCCAGTAATAATGGCCAGTGGATTATACATTGATCTATTGATTTATCGAAATCATCATGTATCCTGACGTAGAAGAGGAATGGAGAATATATATGAAATAACTGTGCATCCAGTTTTTTGAGAAGGGAGTCAAATAATATTGAAATTAAATAATTCAGTGGAATTATTTGTTTTGCATGCAAAAATAAATTAATAATAATGAATAAGCTAGCAAGCAATATTTTTGAATATCTATTGGTTAATAGGTCTATAGATTTTCAGCTTATAAAATTAGCTTTTTACCGTTAGACTTGCTTATCTTTGTCCTACGTATGCAATTATTCTCTTCATGTTGATTCTCAACCCTAATGCACATACTGCTCTCTTATCATACCATTATCTGTCGTCATGTGTCTATGTATACTTTTGTGCTCGTGACAGGTGCTGGAGAACTACAACAAAGGGAAAACCGCTTTGCTGTCAGCAGCCAAGATCATGGTGAGCCCCACAGAAGTGGACTTGAACCCAGAGAGCATATTCGTGGATACATCAACAACTTCTCAGCAGCCGACGCCTACGACCCACCACCGCAGGAACAGTAGTGTTCGGTTAGTACACCAGGCACCACTGTGGGTGTGTTGGTGCCTAAAAGAATATATAAAACAGTTTGTTTGAGCCTCTGTATATTCAGTTTCCCCTCTAACTTAATATGTAATGGAGCAAACTGCTTCCTAAACTGTAGGGATAATCATGGGGACTTTTAATGTAACTATCTAGCTAATACTAAACAATACTACTGCTACTAACTGCTACTTTATTGTTTTCTCAAAATCATCATTCTGTCTGTTCCGTTTTGTTTAAAAAAACAAGAAAAAAAACAATGTTACGGTAAGCAAAGCATGCTAATACTAATTTTGCATAATGTGCTCCCTTCTCTCATGCACGCATGCACGCTGTGTGACCACAGAGCAGTTACAACATATGGTAGTATTCAGTTTCCACCTCGCCCTCTCTGGTTTAGCCCCTGTCCAAAGTCAGTGTGAACTCCTGGCAGTGATGGTTGAATAATGTCACCCTCCTGTATTGAATGCTAATACAAGAGCAAATCTGCCACTAGGATACACTCCTGGCCTCCCAGTCTCTTATTTTTCTTTGTTCTTTGTTGATGTTTTGCTGGTGTTCGCCTAGTCTGTAGAATCTAGATGTGGTAGAAATACTAACACCTTCCGATCTTTCCCCCCTTTAACCCTCCGTAAGGTGTTTTGACCCGTATTTCATGTCTGCCTGTTTTGGATCCCCTCTCCCTTTCCCTGCCACTACTGTCCAACCCCTTCTTCTCCTCTCCTCTAGTTCGTGTGCCCAGTCTGAAATATCTCTGGATGGTTTCTCTGAGTGCCCTCCTCCCCCAGTGCCTGTTGTGCTGCGTGGAGCACGGGAGCGCCTGGCGGTGGAGCTGAGGGACCGCAAAGCACCGCTGGCTGTCATGGAGAGTCTCTCAGACGCCGAATCCCTCTACAGTCTGGATTCCAGACGCTCCTCAGCTGCGCTAAGGGGTTCACCAATGCTGAGTAGCCTCCCATTCCCTTTGGATGCCCCGATCCCAGAGGAGAACCCGTCTCTCAGCTCTCGCACTGAACTACTGGCTGCTGACTGCCTCTGCCAGGCAACGCCAGAGCACCTGGGTGAGGTTGGGCCCTTCTTTACCCCACTGGAATCCGCATCTACCCCGGATTACCCCATGCGGCTGTCTCCCGCCACACCTCGTTACAGTGGACACCATTCCCCAGCTCTTCTAAACCAGAGCGTCTTGGCTCAGCCTTTCAAGCCAGAGGCTAACGCCAACCCAAAAATGCTTCCTGATGGGGATCACCAACAGATACCTGGTGTCTACAGCCCGGGTAGCACTCCTAACGCTCCCCTCAGCCCACAAATTGGTTCTAGACCATTAGATAGAGAAAAGGAAGATTGGGAGCTGGATACAGCAGAGAAACGTTTAAGTGCAGAGACCAGACCGGCAGCTTCAACTCCTCCACCCCAACTATCAAATGGAAACCCCAGCCAAGCAGTGCTGGAATTTGCCCAGTACTTAGACTCTCTATTCAGATTGGACGGCAGCAGCTCACCACCTCTGGAGCTCTCTGACGGGGAGTCAGAGTCAGGCCGGGGCTCCTTTGGGCAGGGTGAGTGTCTCGGAGATGGACAGCAGTTGGATGACAAACAACTTCTGGCCAGAGCAACACTGGAGCCTAACCTAGTACCCAAGCCCCCACGCACTTTTGCTGGATCTGCTGACCCCTCTTCGGGCATCTCTTTGTCACCCTCCTTCCCTCTCTCGTCGTCTGAGGAGCTCAACGACCTTTCCCCCGGTGAGGGTACCCTGCCAGCCATACACTCCCTACGAACATCTCCCCCTTGCCACTGTCCTGAAGAGAACACACTATCATCTATGGTGTAGTGTGCTTCCAAGACTCCAGTGTCCTTTGCTCTAAATTGAGAGGTGCAGTAATCGGAATTTTAAAACATATCACAGTACATGCATGCGATGGAATGCAGTCACTCATCAGAGATCCAATGTGAACTTGACGGACCAACTCACAAACTATTTCCATTCTTCAGGTGTCTCCTTTGAACGCTGTTTATAGCATTTTCACACTATTGCAATGACTAAGAAAAAAAAAAAGATACCTCTCTCTGCATGCCAGGGGGCTGTACTGCTTTTGGGTGAATATAAAGAAACTGTAGCTTCATAATGTCATTCCAAAACGATGTTGTCTCACCCAAAGGACACGTCAGCATTACATAAATTCCCTGACTTTACAAAATCAAAGGGAGAATATTTAACTGAGCAGGGATTCAAAAACTAACACTGTAGAAGAGGTTAGCATAGGCACATCATCTGGGTTGATGTACTGTACAACTTCCTGCACCCTCAGCAGCTCCAGCTTTTACTTTATTTTTCAAAATCAGGAATGTGAAGATGGACATATTTGTCAATCAACCGAAGCGAGAAGACATTATGAAATGTTCCTCAGGTCTATAAAGAATTGACTTTGAGAAAGAGAGTAAGTGTGTTAAATTGGTGAGAATTCATGTGTCTTAAAATGTAGTGATTGTGACAGAAGTTATTACAGACGCCTATGGATGTTTTTGAGTCTTTTGGTTACTCTTTATAGTGCATGAATTTTTTTCTTTATTTTGAAAGATAACTTGTCAATAAGCCACTTAGATTGACATTTGGATACTCTTGCACAGACCATATTGCTCAATTTACCCCCCTTGCCAAAAAAATGTAATACATTGTATTGCCAAATGTATTTATGAGATGTAATTTTGTATACGTATATGGATATTGCTTTATTTAAACACAAGCTAAGTTCATTATCTCCTTCCCAAGCCATTCTGTTGGTTCCCATATAGACTGTTACACAGCAACACCACAGAAAAGATGCCATCCTGACCTTAAAACTTTTATTTTGCTTTCTTTTTGAAAACAAGGTCTTTAACTTGTTTGAACCAATAATGATGTTGCTAATAGTTGTCCTACTCATAACTACTGTACCTTTCTCTTAGGAGAGCTCTTAGCAATGTGCCCAGGTCAAGGTCTGCATGCTCTATGCATTTCAGAGTAGCATAGCCGGTATAGAACAAGTCACAGTAAATAAACTCTAAACTTGTCCAGAAATGTGTAATATATGTAAACTCAAACCTTGTTGAAGCTTATTGAATTCCTTGGTCAACAGACAGGACCAAACGGTGTATCCTTATAGTGTCCCAGGATATGATTTCTCTTGTTCTCAAGGTGCTCTCAGTCATCTTGGACATCAAGGTGTTTGCTTCCCTTTAATCTCAAACATCCCATCTCAAACATCCTTGGGGTTGAACTGTATTAATAAATGGGCTGGAACATTATGTATGCCAATTCTTAATACTGTATGTGGCATACAATCTTCCATATCACACTGGGTGTAACACGTGGCTCACAATTTGCGTTATTTATTACCGTTAATGTTATCACTTTTCTTGCTATATTTGATGGTGTTATTATCCTTATTGCTCTTGCAACAGATTGGTTTGATGTCAGTGGTTTTTAATCTCAGTTTTTGGGACAATGTGGAGAACTTTTTAGACTTTCCCAAATGTAAGGAGTTATATATTTCAGCTTTTTTTCTGTCCAAGTGGAGAAGTATTTGACATTCTGCCATGGCATGGTGACAATATGCTCTTTTTACAAATGTTTCATAGTGGTGGGACATGCTGCAGAGTGACAGCCTGCTCACAGTGACCTTTGGTGCAGTGCCACCGTCAAGCCTGGAGTCACAATAGTGTTCTGCACCGTCTCTCTATTTGGAATAAGATTTGCTGTGTTTACTCACAGCAGGCAGTTCCAGCCAGTTTACAATCCGACACTACTCAAATCATGCTGCCAGTCCCATTAGTCTCTGACAAGATACACTAAGGTTGGGCCGTCACATTTCCAACATTAAGTAGCTTTGCTTGCAACTGGTCATACACTAAACCGCACTAAACACTGTTGAAAGAAAGCACTATAATACTTTCCACCATGATGTGTACAGCACCATCTTCTATGTGTAATTATTTATGCAGATGTCTAAAAAAAAGAAAAAAAAGAAAGATGAATTCCAATAGTCATGTAGAAAACTATATAACAATAAGGAGATAAAGACTATATTAAAAATATCAGTAATGACATATAGAAAAAATATTTCATCTGAAAGTTATTTATTCAATCTATTGGCAGATTTACAAATTGGTCTATATTGAAAAGAGAATAATTCAACTATGTCTTGTCCATGTTTACCTGGTTTGCTTCCCTTCCTTTCCTGCCCCAAAATGAGAATGTATTTATCCCCCACCCTCACTGCCCTGCCTGTAATGGAATAAACTGCAAACTATGAAAATAATTATGAATTTCTGTCATATCTGTCAGCATGTACTACTCATAAATGTTTCAGTGTTTTGATTGTCTATTTAAATGAGCCACAAATTGTGGTTTATGTCCCAGCTTTTTTGAGTCTCCTTGTTTTCCTCACTAATTTGTTACAGATACAGTTTAGCTTGAGTATATTAATAAGATTATAATGGTAGTATACAGGTATTATTTATTCATGTGTGTTTCAAGTTTCTAATGAGTTTCTCCTAAAAGAGTGGTGGAAGTACTCAGATTGGTTACTTAAAGAAAAGTATAAAAACATAATTTAAAAATACTGCATTAAGAGTAAAAGTCCTGAATTCAAAATGTTATTTTAGTGAAAGTACAGAAGTATTGTCATCAAAATGTACTTTAATTTAAATTGAAATTTAAAGTAGGGCTGGGCAATAAATCAATAATGATAATTATTGCAATATAATTTTCTTCAGTAACAATATAACAAGTGTTCAGTATATCGTAAATAAAGGTTTGGTTTAATTCATTTGAATCACAAATGAATTAGCACTTAATTTTTATATTAAGATTTATTTTGTTGAGAAAAAGGGACTGAAAAAAGATTTTACTTAATTTTCCTCAAGCATGTTCAAAAAAAAGTTTTATCTTAATTGTTTTGAATGTTCTTCCTCATATTTGTTAAGTGGTCCACTGTTTGGCAAGTGCTTGTCATGTTCTGATCATAAAAAAACAGTTTAAAACCACAACTAACCATTTCTTCAAAAAGCAAAAATCAGCCTTTTAACTCGAAATAAATGATGATTTAAAATTTATCGGGATAATTATTCGAATGGTATGAAATTTTGTATCGTGATTAAATTTTTGGCCATATCGCCCAGCCCTAATCAAAAGTAAAAGTACTCATTATGCAGATGGCTCCTTTATTCACTAACAAAATAAATGTAAGAGCATTTTAATGTTGTAATTCATCAATTTGGATCCAATATACATACTTTATACACTACTGGGTAGATTATTATCATAGTACTGCATCATGTCATATAAGCATATATGTTCTTAGTATAAAGTAACTAGGAAATAAGAGTGTTAAATAAATGTGGATTAGTGGAAAAGTGCAATCGTTCCCGTGAAATGTAGTGGAGCAGAAGTAGCATAAAATGGAAATACTCAAGTTAAGTACAAGTATGTCAAAATTGTACTTAAGTACAGTATTTGAGTAAACATACTTAGATACATTCCACACTGGTCACTTCTCAGATTAACAGACTTTTAACAATTAACAGGCAATTTGTGAAAGTGACTTATTTTAAAGAAATTACTTTTGATGCAAGGTATCATGTAAACATGAAGAATAGTACTTAGGAGTAGATTTTGCCAAATGAATCATCCTGAAAAGGTTTAGTGCTTCAGATTTGAGGTAAAGAATGTGTCATAAGTTTTAAAACTGCTGAGTGCACATGGATTTTGAGTAAAGATTGCTGAGTTGTTCTGAGCTATATATAAGCCCAAGTGTAGGTGCAGTGTATTATGAGTGTACAGTAAGTCTGATAGATCAGAATCTACTGTTGAGCCTTATGGAGGTGTCATGGGTCAAATGACACAGCCCGGATGGAAGGTGTCTGTTTTATAACACCAATGACGCACCTTGCACCTGTCTCATGAAGTATTTACTGAGGTAACAGTACAGAGAAAAACATTTAATAGGAAAATGTACAACATAAGAAAATAAACATTAATAACTCACAATAGCATGTGGGCATTTGTTAATGTGTATTTTTTTTTATCTATTTATGTATAGAAAAATATTGCTTTTAATTACTGTGTGACCAACAGTAAGCTGTTTGTGAAATCTGTGATTACTGCCCTAGTCAAGACAGAGCAGATCAGTCAAAACTTTTACTTTTTTAAATTAAACAATAAGTAACTTTAATTATAATTTACTCAATTGACTTACTTACAGCATAGAGTAAATGGCACCAGTACTACTTGATGTAGTAATACTGCAGACTTTCTAATAACATATCACAGGGAAAGATTTTATAATTGACCCCCTTAAAACCAGATGCTTCACCTCAAAGGTAGTTATCCATTATTTTGAAATAAAAATATGTTAGTGCCACACTTGATCAGTCAATTTTAAACCCCTCAAAATTTTTGTCAGAAACATTGACAAAAATGTAACGTTAACAAGGCCCAATGAGGAAGACTGTGAAATTTGTTTGAAAGCTTTGAGAAAGGTAAGTTTGTGAGCTTTGATCTTTAAAAAAATCTAATAATTTACACGATACAATTCCAAATGGTTTTGTAAAGCCTATTAGCAACATTAGTGTGCACTGGTAAAACCATTGACTGGGTACAACACGTAGTACTGTATCTCCCACCAGGGGGATGCAGAGTATCTAACTCCTGAGTCACAAAAGCACAAAGAAGAATGACATCCGAAAAATCACCGCAAGATTTCCTGGAGCGCTAATGTTAGCTTGATGCTAGGTTAGCATTATTGCTGAGTTAAGAAGTGCAGACTGTTTTCTAACCGTAGCCATGAATTAAGACCGAATTGTCGAACCCTGTTTCGTTAAACCTCGGTGAGTAAAACATATCTATAACGGTTTTTTAAATCGTTTTATAATGTTTAATAATGCCAACTGACGTTAGGAAGCCAACTTAGCATGAATGTTTACACAGCTGGTTTAGCTAACTAACGTTAACGTTACTAACTTACGTTAGCTGCGGTTATCCATAGTTTTATTTATTTTTGATGCAATAATTACTCTCATCGATATTCTGGCAGTGCAACTTGAAAATCAGCAGTTAGCTAGACAATTTGTAGGATCTTTACCTCGCGTCAAGATCAACACTTTGGCTTTTTGACGCTGGCCCAGTAACGTTAACGTTACTAGTGAAAGACCGTTATCGTTATAATGAACTATAGTTAGGTGTCATTGACAGCACATACATTAAAATCAGATGACTGACTGTTTTAATGGACAACGTATGCTTTGCACTCTTTACATTAAAAAAACAGTGGCTGGTTGGAGAGAGAGTTGTCAGGCATGTATGCCTCGGGGAAATACAGCTCGCGGGGCCCTGCACTTATCCCGCGGATGAAAACCAAGCACCGCATATACTACATCACCCTTTTCTCGGTGGTGCTGCTGGGACTAATTGCCACCGGGATGTTTCAGTTCTGGCCCCACTCCATTGAGTCCGCAGCTGACTGGACCCTTGATAAACGCAGTGTTCACGACGCCCCTCTGGTCCGCCTGCCTGTCTCGAGTCCCATTCCTGAGAGGGGTGACCTCAGCTGTCGTATGCACACCTGTTTTGATGTGTATAGATGTGGCTACAATCCTAAAAACAGAATCAAGGTAACTGTCTCTCAAAGCATCCCTCACATCACTGAGCTTACACCAACTAAGTGTATTCCTGCAGTATCTGGAGTATATGCAGTGTTTCTTGTTGAAATTATAACCAATTGTTGAAATGGTTGTCTCTGTAGGTCTACATCTACCCTCTGCAGAAGTTTGTGGATGAACTGGGGGTTCCCATCAGCAGCACTGGTCTGTCTCGAGAATACAATGACCTGCTCAGCGCCATCTCTGACAGTGACTTTTACACTGATGACGTCACCAGAGCTTGTCTTTTTATCCCATCTATTGATGTGCTGAATCAGAACTCCCTGCGAATCAGAGAGACTGCCCAGGCTCTGGCAATGCTACCCAGGTAAACATTTGCATTAGACCCATTCCTCTATATCCATGTTTCACAGACTTGGGGACCCAAAATGGGTCACATTTGTATTGACTCACCAGTTGGCAGAAGTGTAAATATGTGAATGAGCGTTCTTTTTTGCTACACTGGTCTGTTCAGCTCAGATGCTGTGTGAAGTTTTCTCTCTCTCTTTTCCCTAACCTTATCTTCTGTCCACATCCACGAGCTTATAGATTCTTCAATGTGTAATATGTGGGGAAGTGCTCAGTAATGAGGGGTTGGTTTTAAAATGAATTAACTGGACAGGTATCTCCAAACGAAACATTTGCTTTATCTGGGAAAATTCTAACTGTTTTTTTTTTTTAGAGAAGAAACCTTCAAGATGTGTTGATTGAATTTGGCACAACATACTTGTGTGAATCTGGCTTTCCAAATCGAGCATACCCGAAAAACCAATTCATAAATGCATTTTATATACATGGTTTGTTTTGCCCTTTATCCGTAGTTTGTAAATGTAGATGTATTTTTGTAATTTTTAGTCCTGCAGGGACGCCAGATTTGTCTTTCGGGTGTTCAGCTGAAAAAGTATGGGAACCAGTGCTCTATATAAACCCCTTTTTCTCAAATTGCTCTCATATCTGTGTTATCAGTGGTGTTAAATCACAAATGTAGCTTTTAATCCCTGAAGTATGTATCTACAGTCACTTAACCATGTACATTGTGTAAACTAACAATTCCATTTAAATGGAATTAAAAAAATATTAATCATGTACATCCTAGTGTCAGAGATAACAACCAGTGAATAGAAAAACCTTACAAGACCATACAAAGAATACCCATTACTTAAAACATTAATTTATTAACAAAGCTGCCATCATTTAATTTTCTGTTGTTTAAATAACCTGTTAATTAACTTAAATCATTCCAACATTAATCTTGTGTGTGTTTTGGTAGATGGGACAAAGGGATGAATCACCTACTTTTCAACATGTTACCTGGAGGCCCCCCAGACTACAATACAGCCTTGGATGTGCCCAGAGACAGGTAGCTACAATACATCTTAGAAGCAATCTTAGTATTTAAGAATTTGTTAATTGTAATGTGGATCGTTGTGAAACCTAAGATTACCAATGACACAGTGGAATTAATTAGATGGCTCGCTCCTTTGTAGTTAACAGGCTACATTAACAGAATTAAAATATATAGAACAAAAACACTCATATTTAGATAAACATTTACAGTCAATTGGGACACCTACAGCTTAAAAACATATCTAAAACTGCAAACTGTATTCGAAATACCAGACAGGAGAGAATTATGTTGTCAAGAATCCAGTTTTCAGGATTAATCACAGCCACTTGTAGGTACAAATAAAAAGGATAAATCATTTTTCTGTTTTATGTATATTCTGTGTCCAAGACAGATGACATTCATTTCCAAGGTATAAAATGTAAAATGAAGATGAAAGAGATATTTACAAGCATTTGGGAGATAACATATATTATGTAAGAGGCCTTGAGAAGACATTTCAAATCTGGTTGTATTTACCAAGAGCTGGATGTCTCAAGATGTCCTGTTGGCTAGAGTGATGGTTGAGGATGGGAGAGGTTGGGTTTATGAACATGCAGCCTTGAGACAATGAACACTATCTTTAGCTGCAAGGAATTTCCTGGGCTCATCCAGCTGGAGTCTATTTGGCATGGAGCCTCATCAGAACCAGGTGTGTGTGTGACTGACGGTGTGTTTCCTCTTTATGTCCACTTTGCGTGAGAATACATCAGAATCCAAAATGCATTTTGTCACCTAGTTGACTATATGGGATCTATTAACCAGGGCGTTAAGCCTTGATTGATGTCATTTCATGTCTCACTTTAGTATTGTTGGTTGCACCCAAAATAACAAATAAATTATTTTGTGTTTTAAAGAATCTTCCTGTAGCAGACAGAAGTCCGTTGCAATCCCCATGCGTGTCGATGCATTGTTACAATCCTGTTTTTTTTTTCAGAACGCTGCTGGCTGGAGGTGGTTTCTCTACATGGACCTACAGACAAGGTTATGATGTCAGCATCCCAGTTTACAGCCCCCTTTCTGCTGATGTTGAGCTCCCTGAGAGACAGCCTGGGTGAGAACATCTTACACATTAACTCTCGTTATCTTGTTTGAGTATCTAACATCATGACCAAATTATAGTCACTTTACCTAATTTATCCATCAGCAACTTCTCTACAGACTGTGCTCCAAGGGAACATAATGATGTGTGATATTTCTTTGTGGTTTATCAACACTATTTAGGCTAACCTTGATCAAGCAATATTTATAGCCAGCCATAATAATAATAATAAAATAATAAAGTACGGCTTGATAACTCCATTCCTCCAGGCCACGGCGCTACTTTATTCTGTCTTCTCAAACTGCCATCCACCGAGAGTACCGTGCTGAACTGGAGCGCTTGAAGGAAGAAAACGGAGAAGCACTGCTCCTCCTGGACAAGTGTAGCAACCTCTCCCAGGGTGCCGCCTCTGCACGAAAACGCTGCTACAAGGGGCAGGTGTACGACTACCCACAGATCCTGCAGGTGGGGAGCACAACTACATTAAAAACCAGTTATTGCAAAGATGAAGATTGTGAAGTGAAAGCAGGTTTTAATCACCACAAACATTATTATTATTATTATAAATTTTAAATATGCTTTGCACCTTCCTCGGAATTCTCTTCTCCCCACACTCCCCACACAAGAGGCCTACACTTCAGTTAAACACACCGGCTTGCCCCGCCTCTATCTCCATCTCCCCCCTTGCCCGTCTAATCCACTTTTTCCATCAGCAGTACGTTTTATAAAGTTTCCTAAAAGAAGAACTCGTCTTTTTTCCGTATGTTTCCACCCGCGATCCATAATCACGGCAGCAGGTGAGCCGCACATGGGCTTGTTAATGACGCAGCTTATTAAACAAGCGAAACCAACGTCTGCACTCAGTGTTCTCTCTGCTGCTTTACCTGGTCCATGCTATGTCATAGGCTACCATGTTTTTAACCGAGTAAAGTCTGTGCAAGTGAACAGACCAAACCAGCAACCAGGTATAGCAACGTCACTTCTGTGTGACATACAACAACAACAACAGCTATAACTTATAATTTGTTTTGTGGTAATCAACATACACTTAAGACTGGAACAATCACTGTACACTTGTTTCACTCAAGGTCCCTTCAACTGTTCTTAGAACTATAAAAGTTCTTGGGAGCAGGAACTTTTTGGGGAACTAAAACTGGAACTTTGTGAATGTGGTCAAAAGGCAGTTAAAATTCCTATAATGTTCTTGAAGACGTCTCTAGCAGTGTACATGGGTCAGTAGAGCCTGGTCTTAGTTAGTTTTAACTCCCAATGTGTTTCTACAGGAGTCTTCATTCTGTGTGGTTCTGCGGGGGGCACGATTGGGTCAGGCTGCCCTCAGTGATGTACTACAGGCTGGCTGCGTCCCTGTCATCCTTGCTGACTCCTACATTCTGCCATTCTCTGAAGTACTTGACTGGAAAAGGTGTGCCTAAGTCACTGAACAGCTGAAAACCAAGTAAATGGTTTTACAGTTAGACAATTTCAGTCCTCTAATTTAATGTTTCTGTTTCTGTACAGGGCATCTGTGGTTATTCCAGAGGAGAAGCTATCAGAGATGTACACTATCCTAAAGAGTATTCCTCACAGACAAGTTGAAGAGATGCAGAGACAGGTAACAGTTACAATCTCTAACTGAAGAGAAAACGCCTCTAAGCAAAACTTATTGAAAGTGCCTTACATGTAGTTGCAGATTGAGAACTGAGAGATCAGAGGAGCTGTCAGTAGGGTTAAAGCACTTGCATTTCATGTCTGACATGTGCCTGTACCGCAAGCAAGTAACCAATCAGGTCTATGGAAGCTGAAAAGTTGTATGTGAAAGACAGAAATTTGGATCCCACTGTCACTTTTGTAAGTTTGAATTTGCTCCTTTGCCCAGTCTAGATTTTAGAAAGCTTTCAGAAGACTCAACTATGTTGATTTTTAGCTTGAGTGAAATGTACGGCAGACGGCTCTCTCTCTCTTTCCATTTGATATCTGCATTGAGCCACAATAAACAAAAGTGAAAGCGGCTACGAGAGAAGTGCACCAGTTCAGCTGCTCCTCATTCCCTTGTATCAACTCTGGTCCATTTACCAATTACCCTGGCCAAACATTTTAGGCCGAGGGCTCTGAGACGGGCTTGGGGTAGGATTACACCAGACGAGCTCAAAAACATGGCTTGTGAGGTGGGGTTTCTGCTGTGTATAGCAGCTAATTTGGTAGACTATTAAATATTGTTATCCACTGACAGTGCATTATCACAGTACCCTTCTGCCTAATGTGATGGACTACAGATGGATTGAATTGGCTGTACGTCATGTGAGACATGTCATGACAAGTTATTTTATTATGTATTTGGGGAAAATAAGAGTACTGCTATATAGTATTTGTTTGTGGTGTTGGTGACACTCTAAACCCACACATAAAGCATCAGTGTGCTGTCCTATCATGTTTCACATGAGGTAGAATTTAACAAGTAGAATTGAGAGGAGGCTTTGAAGGTGCAAGTTGGAAGATAATAGTTTGGAGGTTAATTTCAGTCGCATGGGGAATGATCAGTGTGGAATGATGGTCAGTGTCACATTATTCTCTTCTTTCAACTAATTAACCTAAATCTTACCAGAGCACAGCAAGCACAAGTTTCTGTTGAATCCAGGTCTAGGCTTTGAAGACCTTACTGATCGAGCTGATGTATTTAATTAGTTTTGCCAGCAGAGGGCTCAGCAGCCTTTGATTTGAGTGTCTCTCTATGTTCCATTATGGGCTGTTGTGCCCATAATGTTGTGCTTATGAATGTAAAAGTAGGTGTAGACAATGCATACTTACCCTCAAAGAAATACCATGTAGTCTACCACTTATATTATACTTTTATTTAGTTTTTATTTAGTAAAGTTTACAGTTTTGTCAGCATAAATTGTGGTTAGTCCTTGAGGGGTCAGAGGCCAAATAAATACCTGTGATGTTAGCTGCTCCAAAAAGTAATTGGTGAGAAAGTGTTTTTGTTTGGTAGGGAGATTTAAAAAAGGATTGACAAAAGCTAAGAAATGTAAGCTTCTTTGGGTAGAAATAAAGTCCTCAAATTAGTTTTAGCAGGTCGAGTGTGTTTTTATTTCACACAAACATTGATAGTTACAGTAGTAACATCTCCATAATGAGCAAGTGTTTTCAGTTCATCCTGCAGGGACAGAATGTTTGGTTAACTAAAGAGCAAGTGTTATTAGAGACCAGGTCAAATTGTTATAGGTTACTGTTGAGCTTCCATCAGTAGTCAGCAGACTGGGTTCAGACAGCAGAACTCATTTTCAAATTTGAGATGATGTAATAGCACCCATTTAGGTCCCATTTTAAAAGGCTACGTACTAAACAGCTGCAAGATGAGACCGCTGGGCCCATGTTTGATTTCTGACTTCCATGAGTCTCGTTTGGGTCATACCCTCAAAATAGGACTCGTACACACTACAGACTTTTTATTAGATTAGCACAGCCAAATCAATACTGATATTAAAATTAGAATTAAAACAAGGTGCAGGGAGGGAGTTATTTCCCAAGATGAAGTTCCACTTACTCCACATCCTTTCCCCTACTATTGCCTGTGTACTGAGCTTCAATCGGACTACCAGCCTTTTCTTTTAATCCTACTTGTCTTTAGCCTCCTGTGCACTGTATACAGTCTGTGAAGCCTCTGTAGCACTACACCGTGCAGAACACTACACTGGCTGCAGCTGATTGATAGAATATGTCAACTCGGTCTCCTCTCCCTTATATGTTGTCTGTTTCTCCTCAAACCAGTCTTCTTTATTACACGTATGCCCTCATGCAGAGCTAAACAGTCAGCCAGGATGATGACAGGTGTCAGTTGGTTTTTGGTCTGTCAAAAATGTAATAACAGCTCCTTAATCTTAACAATATAGAGTTTCAGATTTGATCTCCTTGAACTATCAACCAAGGTCCTCCACCAGATTCCTATTCTTTCCTTACCTTCACAAATGCAGGAGTTATCAGAACATTACAGCCCGAAGATAAATATGAAATCTAAAGTGTACAGGGGGAACAGACGAGTACAGTCTCATGGTGTGCCTCTGTTGCTCTGCCGAATGTTTTGATCCACAAACTGTGGTCTGTAAACCATGGGGCACACTAGCGCCAAGACAGTATAATCCCACATGAAACCTGCTGCTAAAGCAGTGGTCTTAAGTCATGCAAGACCCAAAGTCCTACTAGTTTTTATTTTAGCCATTCAAGGACTGATTTACACCTGAGAGACCAGGTCATCATTAGAACAAGTTGTGTGTATGTGTGTGGAAATGTTTTGATCACAGTTAAAAGTAAAGTGCCAATAAATCTTGAGGAAAAACAATATTCCCCGTGAGCAGCTCAAATGATTGAAACGGACTTGGTTTCACTGCTGCTTTTGATTATGTCAAAAACACTAATGATTGCCTGGTTCTGTCCACGCTCACTGGCTACCATTTTTGGTCCATAGGTTGAGTCATCTGTTCGGCAACTTCAAGTTCAACAAATTGATGCAGACCACTGTAATCAAAACCTTTTCTGATCATCTGTTTTGACCTGTATTTTAACTATATTACACAACAAAAGAATGGGAGCTGTTCTTAATGAGATGGAAATGAGAAGATTATTTGGTTTTAACCAAGCGTTTTTGCATGGGATGACACAATGTTTGCATTATTTTACAATATTTGCAGCAGACTTATAGACTTATAGACTGAGTTGCTGTATTTGTACTGCTACACATCAGTAGAACAAATAGGAACAAAGTTTAGACTGTAGGCTAGATGCTGCAAGTGTAAGATGGAGTAAGGGGTTCTCTTCCTCTCTTAGAACGCTCTCTCTTCTCATAAAAATTCCTGCAGGCGCTGGGAGAGGGTGGAGGGTGGTGGGACGGGCCCTCGGGCCAACACAGTCTGCTTTCTGCCTCTTCCCGGTCAGAAAAGAAACTTTCATCACTGGCTGATTTATGAGCCATTGGGATTCCCCCCTGAGATTGGAAGGTCTTTTTGGATTCTCCTCACCCCCTCTATAAAAAATAAACACAGCTTTTATGTTGTACATCTCCAATGCGTTGTCCCATTCTACATGGGTTTTAGGCAATGGCAAGATAATTAACGTGCCGCTAAGGACTGTCGTGGGACGCCAATAATACACACTGGTGCATTGCAATAGGAGGACCAGATAGAAATACAGCTTAGTGCTTTAAACACTCAAATTCACATCCTCTTACCCTGGAACTGTGGGTCATTGAGGAGCTGGGGCTGGAGTCGGGTGACACAGTGCCTCCTGGCAGGAGATGGTGTTGTTTGAAGCTTCATTAACTCTTATAAGGTTCTCTCGCCTCTGAGCTGTTCCTTGATGTTGGAGGCAAAGAGAGACACACATCATGGTCCATACCACTAATACTGCTATTGATCAATTCTGGTCAAATCAGGTTCATTTGCGTTGATTTCTTTTCAGATTTCTTCTTTTCGGCATCTTAACCATCACACTGTCAGAGCCTGAACTGTGTGAATAAAAGAATTCAGTGTACAGATTCTTTTTCATCTTTACGGTCTTGACTGAAAGAACTACGTGACGTGAGATGTGAATGAGGGCTGAGTATTCCAGCAGCCGATGTGATAACATTAAGTTATGGGTTAAGAATTCAGTTATCATTAAATTCTGCTTTTCACATCAGAGATCTGTTGAAGTAAAACAGACACAGTCAAAAGACATTTTTAGAGCGCTTCAGAAGAAGAGTTGCTGAAGGTCGAGAGGCTGGGAGAGGGCTGCAAAATGGACCGCAGGGAATAACCTTGATTTTACAGTCATGACTTCACACTGGTCTTATCTTCTGTCATGTAATGGCCATGTAATAAATGTAACAATAATAATACAAAAACTGTTTTATAAGCAATAACAACATGCCAACAGTTTATGAAATACTACCTTATTCAACCTTTTTCAACAGTTTATGAAATACTACCTTATTCAAGATCAATTATTGTTGTCCATGTAATCACCTGTTTTGATCAGTTCTGTGAATATCTCTGTAAAGTTAATAGAAAAAGCATGTTTGCTTACTATACATTTTGTTAAATATGCAGTGCTGATCCTCAAAGCATGTTTTGTGTTTGCTCTTTTTAGCCAATTTTTGTTTTTATAGGTGCATTTAAAGAAGTCTGTTCCATTTGTCTGTAGGCACGCTGGTTCTGGGAGGCCTACTTCAGCTCCATGAAGGCTATCGGCTTGACAACACTCCAGATCATCAATGACCGCATCTACCCATATGCTGCACGCACTTACGAGCAGTGGAACAATCCACCTGTGGTGGTATGTAATTGTGCAGACTTTATGTTAATGTGCATTTTGCAGTTATTTGTAACTTTTAGCCATTGAGCAAGATCATTGTATATTTATTATGATTGTGTCCTAACCTTCCATTGTTGTCGTTCTGAAGTATATTTAGCTATACCCTGAAGGCTGTTCTGTTCCAGCATACAGCTACATAATCTATACAGTCTGTGTGCTCTGCTGTGCTGAGCCGCTCAGTTGTATTTCTAGAAGTCTTTTTGTTGCAGACATCTAAATGACTGCCATCCAGAATAGAGCTTTGACCGTACAGACGCTCACAGTGCCACATAAACTTCCCCACTCTCCTGTGCCTTGTAAATCGAAGCCTCTGTGGGAGAGTGACAGTAGATGCCTCCCCACTTTCTGAAGCGCCACACATGCAGTGCTGAACAGTTTGGTATTCACCCAGCTTGCTCCGAGGCAGCCAGTTTGTGTCAGCAGTTCTGCGCTAGGAGGATGCCTCCGTTGTGGTGAAAAATAAGTTCCTGCATGTCTGAGTCATTGTGTTTGTAGTGAGTACGCTGGATGTGAAGAATGGTGTGTGTGTTTAGCTTCCCTGTGGTTGTGGGAGTTTGTGGCTGCAGACAGCTTGGCTGAGCGACCATCTCTCAGGAGTTGTTAATCAGCCCGGTCTGATGTAGTGTCTCCTCCATCCTCAGCCCGTGGGGTAGAGACATTTGCATGTGAGCGTCTGCATCTTTCAGATGTCTACAAGAACCCCAGTATAAGCAGATCCACTGAAATGCTTGGATTAGAGAGGTGGCAGTCACAATCAGGTTGTGTTGGTGTAAACAAGTGGCGCTTGTTTTCTGATTTTTGTCATTTAAGCTCTGCTAATAGGTTCACTGCAGCTGCTCACTCTTGACCATGGGTTGCCTGTTTTCCTTTGAGCAGCTAGCTTGTTAATCAGCAGTTACACTTGACATTGCCCACTTATGTCACAATGTTTAGTCAGAGTGTCCAACTCCCAGTCCACTCTATCAGTATCACTCATGTCTCAAGGTTTGTCCAGACCCAGAGCAGGTTAATTGTGTCAGGGTACAGACCTTTGGCCATTCCTGCCAGAGATGGGAGATGAAGTGTTTTGTCGATGGATTCAGTGAACGGTTGGTGAGAAGAACTTGCACAGAGCACCAAATAAATCAGGCAGACATTTTCCCCCCTCTCCTCCTGTAGTCTTCAGGCTGGTAATTGAAAGCACATTTCCCAGGATTGCTGGTGCCTTTTGGAAGGGGGTTTCAGAATAAGGGACAGGCTGCATTTTGTGTGAGAGTCGTTAGGTAGTGGCATTGTAAGGTTTATAGATTACAAGAATTTCGACATCTCCAGACTTCCAAATTTGAATTTAAAACATTTTTGTAGTGATTGGCACCTGGGCATGTGTGAGTTGTATTTGATCACTATCATGTTTAAAAGTTAAAGTACAGTCTTTATCCATTACTTAAACTCTGTATTAAACCTAATCCTTCACAGGTATAAATTACTAAGAGTCTTACAATGTTCACCCACATTCAACATCTTTAAAACTGGAAGTCAACCCCTGGGTCGTTATCTTTTGAAAAGTTCCCCAAAATAGAGCCAAAATAGTAAAAATAAATAAAACAACACAAGAACATAGTATTGTCATAATATTAATAAATTATAAAATTATCAAGTATCTTGTGTTGCAACTTTATTATTTGTATTATTCAGCAAAATATTGAAAGATTAGATTTAATCTACCACTACTGTGCCTCTTAATCTGTGTATATTAGCAATACTTATGTAAGCTGTTTAAGTTGATGATATCAAAATGTTTCTATGATGATTCTACAGGTTAACAGATAGGATAGAAAGATTAAGGCATTTTGAATACTTGGCAGTTCTTTATATTATCTTGCACTTAATCTATGTACCTTTTTTTTTGAGTCTTCAAGGATCTTTTCTTCACTAAAGTTAACGAAGAACCACTCAAGCAGATCAAATAACCAAATAAGATTATTTTTAAATCTAAAGTATAAAAGAAAAACACATCAACTCCTTTTCAGAACTGCTGGGGACATTTTGAGCTGTGGCTTTTTCTTTTCATCTAATTTATTCTGTTTGACAAATGACTTAAGTGGTCTCTGCCTCTTTCATTCTGTTTTTAATGCATCTGTGGTGCGTATATGTGTTAGTTTAATTATTTCCCCCTCGGCGGGTTTGACAATGTGAGAATGACCACAAGGAAGTTTCCACTTTCCAATAAAGTGGATTTTTTATTGGTGGAGGAGTGACTGATGTTGTGTTAAAGGCAGTGGCTGTGTCTCTGTTGACAGACTTCTGTTGATGCTGTAGAAGGAGCCACATAATCAATGTGTGGCCACCTGGGACCAAAGGAGAAACAGGGTTTATATGTACTTCAAGAAGCCCACAGATTTACTGTGTTAGACGTGCTCTCTTTGCCCCTCGCAGACTGATTGTCACTGTAACCAGGGTAGAGTGGAACATTTTTGGAGCCTTTGATGAAGTTGGGTTTTGTCAGTGCTGTAGTAGCACATGCTTGTAAATGAAAGATATAGGTTGTCTTTTTAATTCAGTTGAGAAAACAACCTTAGTAGACACTCAGACACTCGTTGTGTTTGGCGTTCCAGGGTTTTTTGTAACTTTTAAAGTTTAGCACACATACCATAAGAAAACTCTCCTGTTGCTTCTTTAACAGTGTCACTTGATCTAAGCTGGAGTCAGGATCCGTGGTTTACAAGCCATTTTAAAGGGGAGCGATGATAGCAAAGCCAAGTTCCAAAAGTGACGATAGAAGGCCCAAATTTACTACCTGGCTTTCCACTCTTTGACTGCCACCCCTCTTCTTTCTGTCCCACCCTTTCTCCTATATCCATGAAGACCCGTCAAAATAGCATCACAACAGGGTAGCCAACTGTCTTGTTTGCAAAATCCTTTCTGGTCTTACCTATCATTCTGTACTGCTGCTTCTGCAGGGTTCACTTTCTGACTTGAAGCTTTTGGCACTCTGTTAGCCCCCTGAGAGACATTATTGGATGATTCGTGCTCCATAATAAAAACCATCAACTGGAAATTACTGCAGGTGACCTCACTGTCCAGTAAAGCACTATTATAGTGTATTAAATCATGGAAAACATGACAGACAAGGTTGACACTGAAGACATGAGACTAGATCTACAGTAGCTTTCCATGGAAATGAAAAACAAGAAATTACTAAATATGTTTGCAACCTAAACAGCCTACGTTTTTCTTTGTTTTCCTGTCTTGTGTAGAAATGGTCCAGTGTGAACAGCCCTCTGTTCTTGCCACTCATCCCGCCAAGGGCACCTGGGTTCACAGCAGTGGTGCTGACCTATGATCGCGTTGAGAGTCTTTTCCGGGTCATCACAGAAATCTCCAAGGTGCCTAGCTTGGCTAAGCTGTTGGTGGTGTGGAATAACCAGAACAAGAGTCCTCCTGAGGGTGCGTATATAAAATAAGAAAGTTCATGCAGCCTTCTTAAAGATATATATGTTGTATATACACTGAGTTGCCATTTTAATTGGTAAAACTAAACTAACTAGCCAAAAAACAATAGTTTGTCATTCTGCCAAATTGTTTTTTGCAGAGGTGTTTTCTAATATTGAGTCTACACTCATTGAAATAAACATGGTGGCCCCTAACTCTATGGCGCACCTCCCCAACTGATCGGTTTAGCCAATTTAGGGACAATTAATAAACTTTTATGGCATGGAGGAAACTTTACGTGCAGGTGTTACCTTTTTTCATTAACACATGTAGTCCTCAAACATAAGAGTAATAAGTGAAAGCCGGCCAATTGAGATGTTACTACTTAATACTCAATTCTCTGCGCATACACTTAATGTACTTGTACCAATAAAAGCCATCAGTAGGTTTCAGTAGTGACTGACCAGTAGTGCTCTGTTTAACTTGCAGTTTTATTGTTACATGTCTGTCCCTGTTTTTTCTGTCTTTCATTACACTACATCATTAGTTGTAGTCCATCAGAGATGTGTCACAGTAATCTCTTATTAGTTGTTATTTATTGCACCTTGCACTCTAATTATTTGCCTTAATATGTCAATTAAGTACACAACAGTTAATCGTGCCTTAACCTACTGAGGGCTTAGCTCAGACTGTTCTGGACCAGGAATTAAATCGGTCCTGCTGCTGTAAGAGTTAGCTAATGTAATGAAATAATGAGAGGACTTTGAAGTGCTCCCTCGTGGCTGTGAGTTGCCTTTTCATTAGAGGCATCAACGGCGCCTGGCTGGAGCTTTGTGACCCATTAGAATTAACAAGGGGCCATTGACGGGTCAGACTTACAGGGCTCAATCCAATATGAAGGCAGATTTCTTCCCCATTCACACCAAGCCTTGATCTGATGTGTTTACAGACTGACAGAGGTTTTGCTTCCTCCAGTGTTTTTTTAGAAGATGCTGACAAAGCACAAGGTAGCATTATTGTGTTTTTGTGGGTTTGGAGATCAGCTTTGTGACAGACTTAAATGACATTATGTTTATCAAATTATTTTGACCTGCTTTCACTGTTTGTGTCTGTTCTTATAAATGATCTCTTGGTATAGAAAGCTACAATAAAGGCAGAAGGCATGCAAAAAAAGCGATTGCTTATTCTTCAGAACAGGAGATTTAGTCTTTAATACAGTTTTAGAAATCACAGAAGAATTAACAGTAGCTGCATTTTTGACCCATGCCTAGGTGCGGCTAAAGTTTTAAAATTCAGATAATAGCCCATAATTCCCTCACTCCTACTTTCCAACCTTGGATATAAAAGAAGGGATGACAGCAACATGGACAGAGTGAAAGAAGAAAGTCTGGGCATTCAACATAGCACTTTTCCTGACAATAGCTTTTGACAGACGTGGTTCGGTGGACTCAGAGCTCTTCTTATGGGCTGCCAGGCCCCAGTTACCCCATTAATGAGGGGACACATTCTGTGTGATCTGTCTGTGCCACAGTCCGTGCCATGGACACTGCCCAAGATCTTTGAAATGCTCCCTCGTGAAGAATCGCAGTGTGGTTAGATTTGCACGTGCTTGAGGTTAGCGTAGCGATACAAGTCAGTGAGGGAAGTTAAACTCCCAGGGCGCTGTTTTTCACTGCCAAGACAGACTTCAAATATCTCTGTCAGTGGTAAATGACATCATGATTCCTCAACCATCTTAAAACACTGATAGTGGCCATATTTATATTTATCAACCACTAAAGATTTATGAAAAAAGTGTATTATAGTGTCACACAATATATATGTATCTCTGTAGAGCTGCCGCTAACTATTATTTTCAATTAATTCATGAGGTGATTAATTGTTTGGTTAATGAAAAATGTGTGAAAAATGCCCATTACAAGGTGACGCCTTCAAATAGCTCTTTTTTGTACAACTGACTTTCAAAAATTCAAAGAGAGTCAACTTACTGTCGTATAAGAAAAATATAAACAGCACATTTTCACATTTTAAAAAGCTTTAACCAGCCAATTCTGGCCAATTTTCCTGGAAAATGATTAATCACTTATCAAAATTGTTGTCAACTGATTAATCGACTTAATTGTATCAGCCCTGTAACTATGTTGGGACAACTAGAAACGTGGTTGCTATTATTGTATTGTTTTCCCTGCAGAGTCTCTTTGGCCAAAGATCGGTGTTCCCCTCAAAGTCGTGCGAACCAAAGAGAACAAGCTGAGCAACCGCTTCTTCCCCTACGACGAGATCGAGACAGAAGCTGTGCTAGCTATCGATGATGACATCATCATGCTGACATCAGATGAGCTGCAGTTTGGTTACGAGGTGAGAAAAAGGCCTCCTTATTTAAAAAAAAAAAAAAAAAAAAAAACACCCCTTAACCTTGACCTACTTTCCCCATCCTTCCTCTGATGACAGGTATTGCAGGGAACCATTTCAAGTTGATCTTGGAGTTTAAAGTCATTCAGAGAGATTACAGTCTCATTCTCCACTGACTGCCTGCTGAATGTGTTTGATGTGTGAAGAATGATGACAGGTCTAGAGCTGATGCTTTCCATGCCCACATACCTGCCCGGCCCTACTTAGCCCTGTGCACTCACCTGAATCCATTTAGAAGCCATTTAATAAAATTGTGCTCAGTTTAAGGATAATTACATGGAATTGCAGGCAGGATAGAGGAGTTGTCTGTCTTACTAGATGACGGTGTTTCTTGCTTGCAGTAGAAGGATCAGACTGGCTGCTGGTGTCAAACCAGAGACATTCAGCCAACCATAAAGATACCTCTCTCTGAAAATGCCTCCTAATCATTTATCTTTTAGTGTAATCCGTCAGTTCTCACCTTAGTTCAATTCTCCTGAAACTGTCTGAAAGTCTGTCTTCTGTCCTGCTGCAGGTATGGAGGGAGTTTCCAGACAGGCTGGTCGGCTACCCTGGCCGGCTGCACCTCTGGGACCATGAAATGGGGAAGTGGAAGTATGAGTCTGAGTGGACCAACGAGGTCTCCATGGTTCTAACAGGAGCCGCCTTCTACCACAAGGTGATTTGGGAAAGCCTGGCTGAAATCAAGGAGTTTTGGCAACTTAGAGCTGCTGGTGGATGTTAGAACTGTTGCTTAGTAATGACACACACAGAATGGATTTCGCGAAGGAAGTGACACGTGCAGAAAGGATTAGATAATTTCCATTTGACCTCTGTTTTGGGTATGTGTTGTCTTTCAGGCAAGAAGATTACAGTGATAGATGAGCAGAGTGTCATATGTAGGGTGAGGTTATCTCACTTCTACTTAAAAGCTCACACACTCACTTAAGTTCAAAGCAAATTCTAGTGCAGCGATTCCTCCTACACACTCTTGGATCACTATGTGATGGCATTATTTTACGCAATGAATCTGCAGTGTGTGTGTGTGTGTGTGTGTGTGTGTGTGTATATATATGTGTGTGTGTATATATAATATGGCACCTAGTAAGAATTTGTTGTTGTGAATCTCTTTCCTTTCCAGTACTTCAACTATTTGTACACATACAAGATGCCAGGAGACATCAAGAACTGGGTGGACGCTCACATGAACTGTGAAGATATTGCCATGAACTTCCTGGTGGCTAACATCACAGGCAAAGCCCCCATAAAGGTACATGCATAGCTCTGACTGGCCTGGATGCTTTAAGCTTACAGGGGCTGAAGGCTGACAGTCTGATCTCTGGGTTTGATCAGCTCTCACCCGGCTTCACTGCCTCTCCCCCTCCCTATCACACTGACTGTGCCCAGGTGCAGGGGCCCGAGCTAAAGCCCGGCCTTAACCTCCCTTATCTGGGTGTCACTCACTGGCACTCCCCCTCTGAGTATGTTTTCCTAAGCTCACCAGGGCTCAAGCACACCCTGCCATCAAATCACAAGCCGCACACTTCCCCTACGCCTTCACCCGCGCTCCCACCTCCAACCGTATCTCCCACAGGTTCCTTCACAAAACACCCGCCGTCTCCAACCAACCGCTTCTGTCTTCTTCTCTGTGTCTCTCATTTTCTTATATACACACATACATTCACGGGTGTGTGTCAGAGCGTTGGGTTGCAGGCCTGTTTTGGGGGTGTAGATGTGATGGAGGTTAGACAGAGGAACGCCATACATTATCTCTCTCCAACTCCACTGAAGAGAATTCAGACAATTTTTCTCCCCTTATTGTGTTTGACAAAAGTTCTTGTAGGATGTCACAGACTTATTTCATCAGACTGGACAGTTTATTAGATTCTGTCTGGGCTGCTCTGGTTTAACAAACAGTTGACGTGAGCTGACGTTACTGGTGTGACTTTGTTCTGCTTCTGTTTAGGTAACCCCCAGGAAAAAGTTCAAGTGTCCTGAGTGTACTGCCATTGATGGACTGTCCCTGGATCAGACACACATGGTGGAGAGGTATGGCACATTGTTTTGGAAGTTTTGGATGAAATGAGCTCAGTACAATATTTTTGTGGACAAACCGTAAAGATTTTCCACGTCTGTTTTTGTCTCTAACTCAAGCATTTTTGCATCACGTGTTACATCTACACAGCTTTGTCTTGGTATTGTGCAGAATTTCAGTCATAGAATATTCTTATAGTTTGTATCTTCGAAAAATCCATGAATGTATTAGTTTTCTGTTTGGAATATTACAAAACATATTAAAATCTTATAAAAGTTCAAATTGATTTTTATTTTTTTATTTTAAATAATATTTGTTTCACACATGCTATAATTTCAAGGTTTCCTTAGCACATTGACATAAAATTTAGGTGAAACCCAATTTTACCCAATCTGTGTCTTGTAAAATCGTGTAGCAGTGAAATATGGTATATCTATTTTCAGTATTTCCGGTAACTTTTAACAGGTGATTAGATGCACTCATTTAATTAAAGTCATACATATACATACATATTATATTAAACCGGCCAATTCTGTTTGCTGTGCAAAAATAAACACACAAGATCAATGGCTGGATGTAGCCTCTACATACCACTAAACAGATATATAAACGTGCAAAATGTGGAAATAAAAAACTACTTATTTAAGGAAGATTGATTCCTTACAATAATTAAAAGGAAAGAAAAAGGTATAGACCGCGTTTATATACATCATTGACGAATATTACTAATCAGAACCTGCTCAATACATGCATGTTATTAGCCTATAGCTTTTTAGGTAAACAAGTTGTGTTTTCGTCCCTAGATCCGAGTGCATCAACAAGTTTGCATCAGTTTTTGGTACAATGCCTCTGAAGGTGGTGGAACACCGTGCAGACCCTGTGCTCTATAAAGACGACTTCCCAGAGAAGCTCAAGAGCTTCCCCAACATCGGCAGCCTCTGACCAGCATGTAACAGATGTTTGGACCTCGTCACAGCCTCGACACTTAAAGATTTGTCACGACGTCGTCTTTTATATCAAGAAGTCAATATTCAGACTGAATTTGTACATGCTTCTGTCACCTCTAAGTCTAACATTGACATTCGCTGAGATTTTAAATTGATGTTAAAACGCAGAATTGCACAGGACATTAAGTGAATGTCTTGAATGATAGAGCACACTGAAAATCTGGTAAGAAGTAAAAGAGATTTTCAGACATTTACAATACTAATGCATGGACTTAAGTTTCATGCTATTGGACGGTCACCCTGATTCTGATGTTTGATGTACAGGCTGACTGATTGGAGGTTTGTGGTCCCTTACTGTTACTGTTTTTGAGTTGGAAACTCTGTGCTCCAGCTGCTCTGGAATCAGTGTATACAGTGTATATATTTGTATTTTGCAGCAGTGCTGTACAATAGTCATAATTTATGATGCTCCAATTAGGATTTTCTTGGACCTGATTCTTTTAGCTGCTCTGTATAAGAAATAAATGGTTAATATACTTGATATATAGTAAATAATTCAATGATGTATCTATGTAGGCTTTATCTAATGGTTAATTGAATGTGATGACACACAGTGTGGTCACATATTCACGGTGTCTTTTACACAATCTGATTGGACCATAAATCTAATACTCAGGATGAGTAAGTAGTCATTTGATGAGTTACGTGTGTGAACACGGTGCGCCATGCATTTAAAGACATACTGTATAGTGAATAATAGACACTTCTCAAAACAGATGTGTATAAACTGTTGCAATGCTTTGTTTTTTTTATTTTTCCATTATATCTGTTGTGTGTTTTTTGTCCTTTTCATCCCTACTTGCCCCATCTCTAATTTTTACATTACAGCATTGAGAGCAGTGCAGTGTATAAGATGTTAACATTGCCTTGTGATGTTTATATTTGCCTTTTTCTTTTCATTGTCATTGAAATTTCTTTGACTGAGTTTGTGTATCTAAGTGTATATATGATTTTTGTAATACAGGATAAAGACCACACTAATGTGTGTCGCAGTTTTAATGTTCTTTTTTCTGTCTGTGTAAGTGAGGTGGGAAGAAGTTAAAGACAGACGTTTTCCTTTTTCATGTCAGTCTTTGCTCCAACCTCAAACCCTCCAGAGCAGACCCTACGTGACACTGACGATCCACTGTTCCCTCCAGCCTGTCACCTGTTGTTAATATACGCTGCCTAATCCACCCTGTTCAATGTCAGCAGTTCAAAAGGGCGCAGTTCGTATTTTTGTCAACTTCAATTAGTGTGATACTCTTGCGGGTTATGCGATCTCATTTCAGCACTCGAGTCCCTTCAAAGGGACTGAAATGCGTGGGGATTTCAGAATGTGACTACAGGGATGACACAATATTTTGGCAGTGTGGTGCAATGCAATAAGACACTGCAAATTCATTGGTGTTTTTTAACAACAGCAGACAACTTATTCACAAGTTGTGGCCAACCATTACATTTAGCTGATGACTTGAAAGGCTTTTCTTGAAACTGGTAGTGATTTGAGTGACCTCTAAATACTATACAGAGTAGTGGATTTTTCTCTGCACTGTGTGGTAACGGTTGTTTCAAATTGTGTATAACATTTGGTGCTTGAGGGAACCACCAACATGATTGTCTTGCTAGAAATTCTATCCTTTATATATTGTCTTGTTGTTTTAACCTATATACCTTAGAACTTAAATGACAAACTTTTTCTGAATAGAAGTGCAATAACTTATTGTACTTTAATCACACAAAATGTAGCACAAGCATGAGTAAATTCATACACTCAAAAGACGGCTTGAAGCCACAAATACTTGAAAAAAGAACTTTTGGAACTTGTAAGAATTACATATCGAGAAAAACAACACAACTCTGGAAAGACAATTTTACCATGTACTACCAAATGAAAAAAAAAACATACACTCCAATACTTGATAAATTGTCTCACAAAGTAAAACAATATATAATTAGTAACATTTCCAAGAGTCTTATAACACTTCAATCCATTTTGCATACACAAAAATGTACATGCACGCAACAGCACACACATTTATCAATACTGATTGCCTGACTTCAGTAGTATTAGAAAATGAGAAAAGTGGATGATGACATCATAACTGAGGGATTGAGTTATGCGGCATTCAGGAGGTTTTTTCAAAAGATCATTATTTAATAAGGATTCAACAGTCCTTATGTGATTGTAGGACAAGGAATTCAAGGGGTAGATTGAATGTCTGCCGTTCTTAGAGAAGGAAGACATGGAGGTTTTGGAGACTGACTGGAGCTGTGTAAATCCATGAATAATGAAGGTTGAAAACAGTGAGTATGCATTGTATAAACCTGAGCTACTGAATGTGAGTATGTCTGCGCACTGTGCAGAGGAGAATTTTACTCTAAACCAACTAGGAGACAGACAACCCTGTCTGTCCTGACACACAATACTGCAGTCCTCAGCCTCCACATGGCTCAGTGTTAATTAAAAAGCCTTCCTGGGTTGGCCGGGCGGCTGTGCCTTGGACCCTGCGATCGGGGGCTGCATCTTTGAGCCAGTGGAAGTGAGCAAAGGGAGAGGCGCAGTGCAATGTGTATGTGTGTATAGAGGTGGGTCAGGAAGAGGAGGGGTGAATCTTTGAAAGCAGAGCCATGACAGCTGAGGGGGAAGCATGTGTGAGGCATGTTTGTTTTGCATTTACCCCCTGAGCGCAGCTGTGTGCACTGTCCTTTTCCCAGAACACCGGAACACAGCAGACGCCCTCACGGCTCGTCCTCCATCCAACCCCTCAGCTAGAGTACAGGGGGCCCCTATGTCCGCATTTGCAAGGAGACCCTCTCAGTTTTGAGATATGTACGCTATAGTGAGGAGGATTATGCATATGCCTTGGATTTGGGCCGGAGAGTAAAACTGGATGTAATTTGGAGTACTCCGGGGCATTCTGCTCTGCTGACAGGTTATAGCCTGCTCCCCGCTTCTCTTACCTGCCCAGAAGGACAATGAATGTGGTTCGGTTTAGTGAATTAGCAATGGTTGCTCTGCCTGAAGGTGCACTACAAGGTCTCAGGTTTGCTTTTCAAAACCATGAACCTTTGTTATGCTTAAGGCCTAAATCGGGCTTTGGAAACAAAGGAAGAACATGCATAACCTCATCGGTAAACCTCATATGCCATTTCTGTAACTGGAGGAATCCAGGGAAAAACAAGGTTTAATATTTGACCTATTTATATGACTTGAGGATATGGATATAAGCGTATGTTTTGGGATCATCTCTGGTTTTTTCTGCCTTGCTCCTCCTCTTCTCTTTCCACAAAGAGACACAAACTACATAGAAGTAAACAGGGAGTAATGGCTGAGAGTGGAGACAGGGGACATGATTCCTTACGGTGCTTTGCCTGACATCTTAGTGGTTTCATTAACACAGGTCCTGCTCAGATATCATGCCAAAAAAACTAATGAGGCTAAGAGGCTTGGGGTTAACATTTGCTGTTGGGTCCATGTTCCCCAGATGGAGAGTGCACATAGCTTTCTAGAGAGCAGTGTCACTATATTTTGCCAGAGACCCAGAAACCGACCAGTATACCTTTACCGATATGCTACCTGATCCCAGGTTTTCTGTGTGTCAATTAGTTTGTTGTGTTATTTGATTAAACACTTAATTCATGATTTTACACCTTGTAAGCATGATGCGACTTAAAATAATTATAGTCTTAGAGCAAAAGATAATGCAGGACCCAAGTGAAATTGCACAAAAAATTCTCAAACAAGTTTGCATGTAATCAAATCACCAAAAAATAACTGAAACATAGTGAATCTGGGAGTTTGAGGCAGCTGGATAAGGCTTTGCAAGTACCTCAGCTGAAACATAAACCCATCCCTACAGAAATCTCCTTGATTCTTCCTGTTGTCTCACTCACTAAATTTGGATACTGTCTTCCATCATCATTTAGAGAAATATTAGATGTGTATGTGATGAACAGAAGTATGTTTTTGTGAGGTAAAATAGGACCTCAGGGTGTATAAAGAAAGAGGAGCCACATCCAACTGAGATGCAGTCAGAACCTTACTGAATAGAGGTTACTCTGAATTAATCTGGTCGATGGCTTCCTTTGTTTGGTCTTGACAAAAACAATGAGAGAAATAGAGAAAGAGACACTGTAACATATATGCCAGCGCTGCTTCACAACCATTAACCGGTCAGCTATGACAGCCAAACACGGCCGTGTTAAAGTCCAGAATAGGGCTGTTGAACACTGACATCCTTTCAGTGTTTAAAAGTGTCAACACACTCTGTAATCTCCACCAGCCCCCTCTGTTTCAAAGGTGGCTGCCGCTGGTTTCGGTGTTATTTCTGGCAGAATGACTGACTAGTAGGCACTTCTCCTTCTTAAACTCCTGAGACTGGAAATGCAAGGGGCACAGTCATGTCCACTTGGAGTCTGTCCTCCTGAAAACAGAGCTGGCTCTTTTTGGAGGCTGGCGCTCCCAGGCTCTTCAGCCCTCAGAGCAGCAGGCCTGCTGTGCCCCTCTCATACTCCCACACATCGCTTCCTCCTCCATCCCTTCATTTCTCTGGCCATCAGCAGGCTGAGTCAGTGCGGCAGGTGGATCTCTCAACCTGACCGCACTAAAACAAACCACATTTCATCTGTTTGACTTTTAAATGCTAGTGGGCAGAACCACTTCAAACTTTTTTAGCAACTGAAATGTTTGCATTGAATCCGAGAAGCTTCATAATGTGACAGCTAGGCTGGATATAACAGTTTTTCTGTAGCACTAGCATACCAACAGTGTGTGTTACACACTTCTGCATGTGCTAATGCTGCTTATGATTGCCTTAAAATAATATATACATGGCTTAACAATTACACCTAAACTTTAAAATAAAGTTTTAAGGATGCCTGCCAAGCTATTTGTCAAATCAAAACCAGTAACTCGAGGGGAAAAAACAATAACACTCAAAATTTAAATAATATGGTAGAATTAAAACAGCACCTGAACAGAGAACCTCCATGACACGGAAAGCACTGTACAAACAGAATATTCTGTATTTAAGCATATAACTGCATGGCTTTGTTTGAAATTATGTAACATTTTCCTTCGCATATCATCAGTACTACACTGCCACTCCTGTTATAAAGTACAGCATCACCTCCCACCAGGCTTTCCACAAAGCTCACTGTGGTTGCTTTCTCCCACCGGAGGGGTGGAGAAACATAGCAGTGCCATGCCACTTATCTTGCCAAATCTCTTGCTGTTTTCTCTTTGATTAATCTTCACCCATCCGTATATTTGCATAATTATTTTATTGCAACATTTTTGAAGGTAGTCATTGTTGCCGTTAAAGTTTCTGATTTTAGTGCCCCCTCACCCAATACTGGGTTTGTTGTATACATCTCAGGGATCAACAAGATCCGCCATCCAGCAGGTATCAACACATCATGTGGCCCAAGATATGGCTGCACTGTGTTCTTTGGCCTTCATGCGCAAAGCGGCAATACTGGAGGACTTGCGGTCAGGGTCCATGTTGAGATCATATGTGTTGATGCCTGTGGCCATGCTAGGAGATCCTCCAAACAGGCTGCCCATGTGACCCTGTCCCATATGACCTCCGGGGCTTGGCACACCCAGAAAATCAGACATCCCGCTGGCAGAGTGGGGGTGAGGTGTCATACATGGAGTCACAGAGTCGCAGGGCACCACGCAGCCCGGCACGGGAGATGCTGCACTGCTGCCACCGATCCAAGAAGGGTTCTGAATCTGAAATAATGATGGGAAATCAACATTGTTAAAGAGTGACAGAACCGACTTCTTTCTTATATTAACTAATTAACAGTAAGTAAACAGTAACAATAACTAATCAGACACACTATTCTGAGCCCATCAATCGTGAGTCTGTTATTATTGCATGGTAATGCAGTTATGGGCAAAAATTATTTTGAAAACCTTCTTTATTGGTGCATTCAAAAACAGCTGCCAAAAACCATTGCATAGTATATTAGCAAAGTTGTTCCAACACGAAAGGCAAACAATAAAAAAACATAGGCAATGTTAAGGAATTGTTTGACTGTTGGGGGGAAAATCAAGGCTATTAAATGGTGTTTGTAATGAACCTTAGCAGGGTTTCCAGTCTACAAGTAGATATGACTGAAACCTGGAAAGCAGCAATCAAAATAAAAATGTAAAACAGTAGAACAATCAACCCTGTCTCTTAAAAATCACATTTGGGTTGAGAAAAAAAAACTGCACCTGTGCGTAGTTCTCAGGACGTGTCAGAAGAGGCAGCTCGTAAGCTGTTGAGAAATGTGTTCGGACCTGCTGCATCTGACCAAAACGCTCCCTTTTCCTCCATTTTGCCCTTCGGTTCTGAAACCATACCTGCAAAGAGAAAATGTCTGAATGTCATAAAACTGGCAAGATTGTTCGGCGATTTTCTCTGAGAGAACAAGGGATCTTTGCTTTCATCTAGCTCTTTCTATCAAGTATCCAGTCCTGGTCTTGGGTCAATGTGAGGTTTAAAATTCCAAAAAGGGAAAATGGAGTGTAGTAGCTTGTACACCTAAACCCTTTGACAGGAAGTTCCCCCAAATCTGAAGGAAATACTTTTCTATAGATAAAAATCTAATTTTCCTTTTAAAAGGATCTCATGCAGTACTGCCAGAAGACTGAAAGCTCAACTATGAAAAATAATATCTGAAGTGCACAGGTACAAACACAATTCAGAGGCAATGGAGGTAATATAGATGTAAGTCTGAGCTGAGGGGGAAAAGAAACTGGAAATAGAGAAAGAGGAAAAAGGCCTTTGTAAACTGTGCTGCAACCTTCACTTCACTTAAGTCCTCAAAACAAAATGTAAACAGATCTTGTCCCCTTCACCTTTGCTTATTTGTTGTCTGACAAGGGCAGGCATTTTTCTCATTACTAATGTTTGCTGTAATCATAGTTGACATATAAATCTGACACCATTGTTTATTCAAAGCATTACTGTGTTTGAATTACCATCAGAGTGTGTGAAAGCAATCTAAATACATTTGCCTCAGATGGGTTTGGACCTGACATGCTTTTCTTCAAAACTCAAAATTTAACGGTTTGCTATACAACTCTCGTCTGATTGTTACTCCCTGGCCGGACTGATTATCGCACAAACCAAACTTACTAGCCTCTGATATGATATCTGTTATTTCATTAGTATCGGCTCTTTGCTTAGACACCTCACTATAGATCTAAGGAGGGAAAATGGGAAATTGAAAAGTGAGAGGGGATTATAACTGGGGTTTGTTTGCATTTTCCTTTTTAATTTCCTGAAGCCTGAAGCAGCTGGCTTTGAGATGCTGTCTCCTCCAAAGTTAAAGAAGCACACAAACCAGAGGACGTAATCCTTCTTTCCTTGATGTTTTCATACATCTCCCTCCAACTTCATACAAGATCACTAGTTTCTCAAAAAGAAGGTTGCTTTATGTTTAATATACATGAAAGGTTTGTAAGGTATCTCTGCTTCAACAAATACAGTGTCACATACAGCGCTCACATGCTCACTCTCTGCTTTGTGCCGAGTCTGTTGGCTATTATAATGGGAGAACATATTTTTGTGTTGCACACACTGTGTCGTGACAGTAATTGGTAAAGACCATGACAGCTTAAGTAGCTGGTGGACTTTCAATGAAGCTTTATTTATGTTACAGCCCCAGAGAGAAAGAGCAGAGAAATGCCAAACTGGCCCCAGCAGGAGAGCTGTATGGGGCTGAAAACACTTTGAAGTGAGAGACCAGCTCAGAGGATTGATAACCCGCCTCTGCTGTCACTCATGTCAGCTTCCAAACCAAAGTAAAAAGAAATCCATGGTTGAGCCTGGCTTCAGTTTTCCAACCCCCCCAAAGCACTAATAATATCGTAGAAACACCTCTGACCAGTGTTGGTGTTCATTAAATGTAAGTTTGTCTATTTCCCCTCAAAACCATCTCCCACATAATGTCTTGTTTATATAAGATTTATATGTTGCAATTTGAATTAGCTTTGCTAATTGATGATGTGTGGCACCAAGACTCTACAACTATAGTCTTTATTTGTGTTGGTACATGACCTGTTAGTTGTCATTTTCAAGATTTGTTAAGAGCACAAATTTTCTGACTAAGGCTTAAACTAAACTATAAATTGTTTTCAATTCTGATTAAACAAATGATTATTTTCGCAATTAATTGATTAATTGTTTATATAAAAATGTCTGATGTGGTCAAAAATGGCCATACCAGTTCCTGAAATTCGAAGTGATGTCTTCATATCAAAACTCTTCCTCACAATGAAGAAACTGAACTCAGGGCCTATTTATCATTTTTGCTTGTAAAATAACGTAAATGATTAATTGATTATCAAAATTGTCCATTAATCGATTTATTGAATACCAAGTTATTTTCGGAGACTGACTAAGAATAATAGTATATAAAATCATGTTTTCAGTTGTTTTATAAAAATGGTATTTGTCATGATTCCTCACTCTTCTTGGTTTAACAAAGGTTTTTATGCATTTCTTTAATTATGAAGCATATCGATCCATTGTAACATATCTGCAAGTTAGACTGAACCTGTGCGTCAGGTTCCTAATTGGTCAAATCAGGCTTTTTAGTGCTATTTCATCTTCCAATAACTGCTTGGATCTGTAAACTCATGGACACCTGTGTTTGCCCAGTGAACTCCACATGTCAGATGGCATCTCCGCTCTCTGAGCTCTCTGGGCTCTCTGGGCTAACAGAACTGCAAATCTGAGAAATGTGATGTTGTTGAAACCCCGACCCTTGACCCCTGACCTTCCCGTGTATCTGTAGTGCATATGACTCAGATCTGGACTTACTTTCTCCCTTTGAAAGACTGAGACTGAAAAAGCAAACATCTCCAGACCCTTTTGTTTTTTAACTGAAAGTCCTTTGTTTTTCTTTGTGGGAGAACCGTCAGAGACAATGAGGCATAATATTGCCCTCCTCAGAGTTATACTCACATGCTTGAAGCATTTTTTAGTTTTCGTATTTAAACAAAAGTTTTTTTCTTTCTTATTTTTTCTTTTTTTTCACTCAAGACGCAGAATTCATGAGCTGTGAGTCCTTTTGCGTGTGAATGACCTGAATAGAGTACAGAACCCTGTTCTCTGAATGACTAGGCATCTTGTTTCTTTTATCTTTTTGACTTGAGTGTTTAAGAGGGCCGCTGGGAGAGCCGAGGGCTGTAAAGCTGAATCCATCTGAAGCAGGCAGGTCTGTGATAGTATGAGCAGCAGAGCAGAGCCCTCAGGGTTGAATTATAACCCTGCGGCTGCACAGACTTCCTGTGTTTCACTGCATAGCTTTTCTGGTCTCTGCTCCAGCTCGTCATGTAAAAGATTGTTTTTTAATCGAGCTCTTATCTCATCCCATGGACGGCACTGGCATACAGCAAAAATAAAGCCAAAATATTGTATACTTGCATTTTTCCCATATGCCTCAAAAATGGTCAAAATTCAGATTTGACTTGAAATATCAATCGCTAACTTCACTCAAAGCTCATGGGAAAGGTATCACACCTGGACACCACAGTAGGGACACATTCTTGTCTGAACAGGATGTTAATGAAAGAAAAACACAGAAAATCCAAGGGCTTTTATAGTCCACGGTGCACACAAACATGCACAGGCATACACATACACCACACGTGTACAGAAATGGTGGAGGTCTCTTTCCACCAGTGTTGGAATGCATTACAGCAGTCATGACCGGATTGTTTGTAAATCAGGCCAGAAGGTCACTAGAAGGGTTTCAAGTCAGTGAGGTGCTGCATGCCTCAGGCTCTACTAATACCAGCAGATCTGAACTCACAAATTCAGGAAACCAAAAGGCTCAGGTACAAAGAAAAAAGGCCACTGAGACGATCCCATCGACACACAGCAGAGTCAAACAAGTCTCCGCATATTGAATGCTGATGAAATGAAAACTGCACAGATGAGGCCCAGGCGGCTCAAACCTCAGCCCCATGGGCCCCCTGGCCTCTGTTAACTCCCACTCCCCCACTCTCTCTCTCCTCAACTCCCACATTACCAGATAAATCTCTCATGTTGTTCTGTGAGTGACGTTATCTCTGCAGAGCTGCAGATGTTGAAGGATCCATGAGGTTGTGCTGTTTAAACATCATCTGTTCTGCTGTGACGAAGACTTTTTTACTTATTGGTAGGATAGGCCTGTTGTTGCTGTGATTAGAGAGGCTGTGGCTCTGGAGGTAGAGCAAGTTTCCCACTAATTGGAAGATTGGAGGGTCGGTCCCCAGCTCTTCCAGTCTGCATGTCAAAATGTCTTTGGGCAAGATACTGAACCCCAAATTGCAGTGTGTCTGTTTCTTTCTGATGAGCAGCTGGCACCTTACATGGTAGCCTCTGCCATCACTGTGTGTTGTGAATGTGACATGTAGTGTAAAGCGCTTTTTATTATTTATATTTAGCTGCATGTGACTTTCCTCAAAATACTCCTGCATTACCTGCACACGGGCTTCAGTCAGGTCAGTCCTCAGTGCCAGCTGCTCCCGGGCATACACGTCTGGATAGTGCGTCTTCTGGAAAACCTTCTCTAGCTCTTCCAGCTGGTAGCTTGTAAAGGTTGTGCGGTTGCGCCTTTTCTTCCCCTTGTTACTTTCACCAACATCGCCCTTGTCCAGAGGGCTTGACAAGTCTGTGCCTGGTGGCCTATCAGAGGCCACCTTCACGCCCTGATCCTTCACAGCCAGGTAGCTGGTGTCCATTCCAGGTGGGTCTGAGTCTGGCGCCAAGTCAGAGTCTGTCAGACCTGAACTGTCTTTAACTGCAGACACAGGAAGGAGATGGAAACTGTTAAAGGAGGTTCATGTTTTTCCAATTTTATGAGGATTGAATCAAAGCAGATATTTGTGAATGTGTTACCTTCTAGCAGAAGACAAATGTGAAAATAAAAAATGTAGATCATTACATGATGTCAGGCAAAAACGAGTGTTATAACTTGTCTTTTTTCACTTTCAGCTGTACTGTACAGCACAAGCAGGCTACAATGCAGAGTTAACTGATTTAAGAGCAACTCAACTCAAAATGTTGAAACCGGCTTTTTGCAATTCTGTCTGTCCATAATGCAACATTTGTCACTTAAAAGCTTCTGGGAAATGGAGTTTTAAAACATCTCACATTTCCACACAGAAATACAACTTTTAATTCATAAATCAGTAATTAGAAGTCACTGCTGATGGAATATAAATGCTGAAAGAGGATCTACTGTAAATTGTGCTGTTTTTCTCCTTTCAAGAAAGATTTTTGTTGTAAGTTAGATATATTTTCATCACTGAGAAAAAAATTGTTCCTTTTTGTTAGTACCTTCAGAAAGCAAACAGATTTAAAACGTTTTTACCGAGCCTCTATTCTACTCAGCTCTTACACTCAGTTACTTGCCTCTGGTAGTATATTCATAACTGGTGATTTATTCGTAGGATCAGTATAATAATTCATGTGGTTTGATAGGGTGGAACAAAGTAATTTCTCGCTCTTTTGTGAGGAAATTCAGTTGTGAAATCTGTTGGCGCGCAGTGCTGAGTATGTGTCGATTTGTTTGTCTGTCTGCCTGTGTAATGGATGACTGGGATCACTGGCTGCTTACGGGATCCAGTTGTAGTTCGTAGATCATTCTGTGATGTGCTGGGGAGCAGGCACTCTGGTCATAATTTGAGACTGACAGAAAGTTGCAGCTTTTTTAACTGCATACCCTCCCCAACCACCCACGGCCTCTGCTCCAAAACACACACACACACACCACTCTCTCTCACTTTCACTCAGGCTCTGTTTTTCAGTGCTGTGTGTGACTGTGGTCTATTTTGTGGCTGCAAAGTCACCTGGCAGCAAGACTGTCACAATTAATTTGCTGGGGAGTAATGTCTAGCCACTCAAAGAAGAGAGAGACACACCTTTGTTCTCTCTCTTTCTCTTTCTGTCGCACGCACACTTTCTTCATGGCTGCAGCTTAACTGTAAAACCTCAGGCAGCTCTCTGATCATAAATTTCCACAGCCGTGTCTCGGGCCAGCGTTCTTGTCTACGCTGGCAGCTCTTTTTGCCCTGCTGCTGCCCTTCACCGATCCATCCAGTTTATACACACATCTTTGGATTAATGCACATCCACATCGTGGAGGATGTAATAGCTGAAAGCGTTTGGTTTCAGGCCGCTTAATGAGGCCTGCGAGCCCCCACCCTCTAGCTCAGTCTAGTGGCAACTCACAGCGATGCACCTTCCTGCTCCTCGATACCATCTGAGGTGAAGTTATTTTCAGGATCGAGGACGTCTCTGCTCATCTGCCCACCCGACAATTTGTCAGGTTAGAACCAGCAGGTGTGTGTGTGTTCATGTGAGCCCCATGTGCAATTCTCAGTACTCAGTCAGCACAGAAGATCTCTCTCTCTCTTTCTCTCTCTCTCTCTCTCTCTCTCTCTCTCACACACACACACACACACACACACACACACATACACACACACACACCCAGTGACCCTCAACTCACAGCCATGTTGGGTAATGTGCTGCAAGGTGAGGTGAATAGATAGCTTGTCATAGGCTGACTATGCCTCTCTCACAGACACGTGCACAAAAGTGTGTATTTCAAGTGCAAGTTTTTGTCAACAGCACAAGTCTCAGCAGGACAAGTGATAAATTAAATTACCAAGGTGTAGGCACAGGGGTGTTTAAAAAAGTCATAAGGTTGTGGGATTCCTCCATTAGATAAGGATCAAAACTACAAATAAGTTGTTTTATTTGTGGATGAGTTGATCTATGGGATGCATGTAACAGATGATAAATTGGTGCATATTTTGCTATATTGTCTAAGTAATTGTTTGTGGCAAAATTTTGGGGGATCTTTTATATTGTTTTATTTTATTATCATTATGTGACGTTTGGCCTTCTGTCCTTTTAAGGTGTGCATGCAGACACCTAATGTCATGTCATATGAACTTGCTCTTCTGATGTTCTTTTATTCAATTCAGGTATGTGAGCTCCAACATCTGTGTTGCAGATTTGTTTTGTTCTAACATTGAATGTTTTGTGCAGAAAATACTGCCTTCCTATCTATGTTTTACGTTCATTGTTAATTTTCTTCATCATAAAATACAAAAATTGGCTCTCGTGGATGGAAAATTTCACTTTTCAGAAATACTGGTGTCTGACTAGTTTATATTGAACTGTCACTGTTATTAGGGACATCTAATTTTATGGATATATTGAGGACTGAGTATTTTAAGATCTAATGGCTAGGGCTTGGGTTTGCTTTAATGTTTTTGATACCAGTGCCAATACGATACCTGACTTTTGTTTACTGATACAAAAATACCAAATACTTAAATTACCTTAATTTGAGGGCACATCTTCAAAAAAATAAATGCCAGCTTTCAGTACCTGTTTAATACTCAATTGCAAAACTCAAAAAGCATTGAGGTTTGATGACCAGAGCCTACACTTTTTTTCACTCCATCTGAAGCCTTGCTGAGGAGAGCTGTGCATGCAGAAGCTCATTGTCAACAAAGTTTCTGTACTGATTCTATATTATTTTATTCAGCCTAGGAAGAAGAGAGTAAAACCTGCCTTGCTATACAGTCTTCATTCTGCGGTAAAGGACTGAGGAACCATGTATAAGACCAGATGTATTTCAGCCCTGAGAGATTCAATGAGCACCGAGGATCTGGTTCCTGAGATGTTTGCCCTACACTGCTGGAAATGGCCTCAGGCTGAGGGGCCATGTTCTGGTGGCAGACTTCTCACTGGGGGTCTAACGCCCACAACATTGCCTCGCTATCCATGACTAACACATCCTGTTAAGTTTGAAGGGAGCAAATGTGTTTTGTCCTAGCATAAATACTCTAGTTATTTCATCATATTCCCGTGGCAAAAAGAGCTGTCAGGCTGTTTGAAATCACGAGGCCTCTCGCTGATCAAAGGCCATTGTTTACATCGCATGTCATTGATGTTTTTTTGGCAGGAGGGGGATATTGTGACAATCTCCTGCTTGTTAGCCATTCGATCTGCTGTAGCTGCGAGGCTCTCAAACCCTGCCCAAGGTGAACAGCAGTGAGCCCTCCTCCAGGGAATGCCATATGTATGAAGAACATAAGATAGTCGTATTGCAAACATTGCCTGTCAGGAGACGTGAAAAGCATACGCTGCAGCAAAACCTGCAGCAAAAATGGCTATTTCTTCTGCTACGCAAAAGACATCTTCAGCTCACACCTGCACTTCTCCATGTACTGTCTTTAACACAAGTACGTCCTAACAATAATCCAGCAGACTCACACACTACTTTTTTTTCCTTTGGAGACGAATATGCTATGCAAAATGTTTTGAGTTGCAACCACAGAATGTTCTATTTTCACTGCAGTGGATCCAACAGTCAGCATCTGTTCCAATTACTGAGCACAGAGAGGAGAGGAGAGTCTGCAGCTCTGTGTGGTGGGCACAGAGAACGTTCTGCAGAAAGTAAATACACAATACAGAAAGGGTTATACACAGATCAAACTGAGCAGTAATTTGCAGTTCAGCTTACGTGAATGTTTACACCTGACTATAGATTACTGACTTGTATACAAGTCTAAATTTTCATGTGACATACACAACAGTATAGTATATATTTTTACAACATATGTCACCTTTGGCAATCATATCAAAATGAACATGAGGATTGGTTTAAGACCTTCCACGGTGCCTCATTTTTAATATTGTGAGGCACTTCCTTTGTGGATATCAGCGCTAAAATGACGTTCTTTTGGGTCAGACATTCAGCGCGGACAGCTATTAATTCACAGTAGAAAATGAGAGGGCAACATCAAAGTGCAGTTTAACTGGCTGTAAAGCGACAGGGCACCTTCCCTGCCTCTTTATTGACTGGGATGACTGGGGTCAGCTCACGGTGTTAAGAGGAAACACTATAAATTACACACCACGCGGCGACTGAGAGAGATTAACAACATGTTGCTCAAACTGAAAAAGAAATATCTGAAAGACACGGAAACAGAAACAGCAGAGAGAAAGAGAAAAAAGAGATGAAGGAAAGGGAAAAACAAAGTACAGTTTGCCTAAACTACATGCACGGAGGAAAGGAAAAGTGTGAGCAAAGTATTTATTTGTATGTGTTACAGGAGATTTGTTTTGCTGACTTAAAATATGGATTGGGATTCAACATGGAGCAACAAGTTTTGCTTGGCTGCAAAGACAGAGGCAGGCTGAGATACTGATGCGTGGTCCTAGACATCAGAAACAATTTCATATGAATATATATGAAGTTGTTTCTGATGCCCATTGGTTTCTAGTAAGAGTACTTGTACTTGATTGTTTTTATTCCATGCTACTTTTTACTTCAACTCCCAGACATTCCAGAGGGATATATTGTATTTTTTTACTCCACTACATTATCTGAAAGCGGTAGTTATTATTATTATGTTGCAAATAATAATTACACATACAATACACGACAAACATTATTAGTTAATAATTAAAAATTGTTACATATTAAACCACCCAACACTAGCCAATACAAAGTAATTAAAAGTAGCTTTATCTTAGCCCTCTACAACATTTAAATACTGCTTACTCATGAATGTATCTTTAGAAATAATCCAGTAAAATAATGTATTCTATTTTAAATAATATAAGCTTTTGAATGCAGGACTTCTATCTGTGATGGAGCATTTTCATATTGTAACATTGTTGCTTTCACTTAAACAATAATTGATTTTTGGGGACCACTGTGTGGGCAGCGGAAATAAGTTGAGAACACAACACTGACATGTCATCACCCTTTTA